AAAAATGATGGAGTTTGGATAAAAACAGAAAATGTTGTAGTAGTTAGAAGTAGGAGGTTATCTAGAAAGTGGGTGGCTGGGCGGCATTTTTTGGGTGGCCGGAATGCAGGGGTGGCCGGAAAGTGGGTGCTTTGACTTATTTATATACGAATTCTGTATCCCGAAGGAACCCGACGTGCAGCTTCTCCGGGTAAAATAAATGTCAACTGCATCTGTCCAGACCAGTCGAAAGACGCAACATTATCTGCTCTGCGACGAATAAGCCTTCGCATACCGCATGATACTGGTTTAAAAGTACAAATTTTCATTGGGACATGACTGGGGACGAGAAGGCCGATTCACCATACTCGCCCAAACAGTAGCTGAGGAGATCGTTGGGTGCGCAGTCAGGGCTCAAAGACGATGCGACAGCATCCTGATCAGAAGTAATGTATGATCTTAGGCCATAAGCACCGTCGAGAAGAATATTTTCCCACGAAGAGGGACAGATCCCCACAAAGGACCGCTAGTATAGTGAGGGTTAAGAACTGATAACTCATAGACTTGTAAGACGGCTAACGAATGGCATACCACAAGTGGAAACAATATCGAGCGTTAAACCATGAAAGCGTCACGGGTGGCTGCGGCACAGGTCAAGCCAGCCGATTCGTCACCGTTGGGCGATTCTTTGTTAGGAAATCTTATCTCCTTTGGGGCATCTTTGCGATTTCCCAAGGCGGAATGTAAGCACCAAGGTCACACTTGAACCCTATTGTTCTCTTTAGACGCGCTAGAGATAAGAGGCAAGGCTCAATGTGGCCCACATCGAGATCTACAATGGACTTGAACGGAACCGTCGTCCGGGCGACTCCCCGCCGGCCCGGCCGGAGCAGCCGGCGACGTCCGGAGCTGGCCTGCTCAAGTCCACTGCCGAGTGGGGCCGACCGGCTACGGACACTCATTTCGGAGGTCTCGGCGACTTAAGTATCTGCCAAGCGCCTTGGCTTTCAGCCTTCGCTGCGCCGGAACATTCATTTGATGATAGCTCATCTCATTCAAGTCAATTGGCATAGCTGAGTCGAATTTGTCACGGCTGGATCCATACCAATGCTTTCAGCGGAAGACAGACTATGGCAGCAGTGCACCTGCACGTGGACTGTCCGTAACTGGTGATGGGGAAGCTTCTATTGTTCAAGCTTAGCCAAGAAAAGGCAGACTTAAAACATTACGCAGATCCATTTGTTGTCAAGATCTGGCATCTTGCAGTCAGTGCATTGCCGCTGATCATTTTCGTGTGGACGAACCAGGGTCTTTCGCTGTTCAGTAATCCAATCTTTGCCCGCCAAATAGGCTATTGATGATCTGCATGCTCGGGAGGTCAATGGGCCGCGACAAGGCTCTCAGCTCTCGGTCAAGCAGCTGACATACAAGCCAAGACGCTGGAAAGATAGCTCAGGATAACTCATGTGGGACAGAGTCATCGACTTTTGAAATTGCTCACGATCTGACAGCGTGGGGAAATCTGCACCCCCAGCTCGCGACCGGGGTTGAAGATGCAATCCGCTTACGCGCGAACAATGCGTGATGGGGAAACCCTAAATATCGATAAGTGCAGATTTTGACAGCGGGAAGAGGAAACAGTGATTACATTGATCGACGATCACAATGCCCACAGCAAAAGACATGAACTGCCGTCTGAGCGTGAAGAAACAAAGGTTGGAGTGGACAATGAGACAATGCCCTGTAGTCCACTAGCAAGGCCGACATGCTTGGCAGAGTTAGCTGGGATAGGTGAAAAGTAAACAGGGGTTTTGCTGTTCCTGCCTGCGAACCACTCCGATAGAGGGCATATGCATGCACATCAGTCAGGGTTCTCTGATGATTTCCAAGTGTCCGGATGCGACTTGATCTTAGATCCGATGAGAATCTCGGCAGCAGGATCGGTCCCAATGATCTCGAGAAATCTGTGAGATCTGACGTCAATTGAAATGCGTCACCTGGAGTGCTTTGCTGTGGTATCCAACACATTTGTCACGATTTCGACCCCAGAGTTTCATATCACATGGCACTCGACAACAATAGCAATGCGTATTTTGCCCCAGACCGTTGACTTTCTTTGACGAGCACGAGGCGACGGCATCCCCCAGACGAGAACCATGTGGAGAACGAATTGGTCGCCATCCTTCCCGCGATTCGTCTGCGCAAGTGCCGCTCTTCGGAATCATGGAACGAGTCGATCCGGCACAGAAAAGATTGTGGCGCTAGAAATGATCAACAGACATCTATCGCCGTCAATCTCGACGCCAGGTACGAAAAAGATCTAGCATCCCACAAAAGGACCGGAAGCCCTGCGATGCCGTGTTTCTCGTGTGCCTGTGAGCCAAAAAAGCCTTTGTCTTGATATACAGGCATTTGATTGGACATGCCAAAGACCTGACGCATGCGAGGCTGTCCACCTCACTTTACCTCGAGCAGATTGACTCATGAAGATCCCTTGCTTTAGACTGAACGGAACGGCCAAGCGAAGCCACGGTAATGCGCTGATTGGATCATCAGCCATCTAGCGTGACGGACGATAACGTCTAGTCAAAGTTGGTTTGATTCGGGTGCCGGGAGCACGGACGAACACCTCAGTGATCGACAAAACAAAAAAGCAAAGTTCTGAGGGACGTAGGGAGAACATGAGTCGAAACATGGGCCTGAACTGTTCAGAGTAGTCCTAGAGTAGTTCATCGCGGGAAAGCAGTGACCACAGCCGACAGACGCCACAAGCGGGGGGAAGCGGTTCAATATTAGCCTGGCCATAACAGGATTCGCTGCTCCGGACAAGCTGTGCGGCTGTATCGCACCCTTATTACTATGCCAAGCACGCTATCGTTTAACTGATTCTACCGATTTGGATGGCCGATCACAATGTGTCCAGGTGCCGGTACCGTTGGCCCGCTGGGCTTCTTCGACTGTGGCTGAACCGTTCCTCGGTCATGGACTCTTCCTTCTCCATTCCCCACTCATATCCCCACGCACAAAACTTCAAGAATGAGGCTGTCTTGAAAAGAAGACACATTCCCATCCTATTTTTGTAAAAGATCAGACCAGGAGATGCCCCTTTCTCTTCATCCAACAACTCCAACACAAACGTCACCATGGATCCCGCAGCGATGGCGAGCCTTACGATCTACAACTTCCCGCCTATGCCGCCGAATTTCGATAGCGTAGGCATTTTCTATATGACCTTCTGCGTAACATGGACGGTACTCGTCATCGCCGGCATGATCTTCTGCTGGGTCAATCGCGATAGCCCCGTCCTCAAGATCCGTGGCTTGCCGCTGTCCTTTGCCGCTATCTTCTGTCTTCACCTGTACTGGATTCTGGCCCAGATCACCTATCCTATCGGTGGAACAATGCCGGCCGTTCTGGCCTACGATGTTCAGTACTTCGTCATGGGAACCTGGTTCCCGCTCGGCATTGCCTTGTTCCACGCATCCAACGCTCGTTTCTTGCACGTTGCGAAGCTGCAGAAGCTGCATTTTGCGGATAAGGGAGAAGGAATCAAGCGAGGAAAGCTCGGCTGCGATGGTGCCAGGACATCCTGGCTTTGCCGCTTAAGGAACATGGACTATACGACGAAGATCATGATCCCCATTGGCTTGGGTCTGGTTATTCAGGTACGTAACGCTCTTCCATAGACGCACGGATCCAATCTGACCCGCGATTGTTTGACTTAGGCATGCTTGACTATTGGCATGTGGCTCGCTTGCAAGAAGTATCACCCGACATTCGGCATTCCTGGTACAGAAATCCAGGGCTCCAACGTCATGGAGCAGTTGGTAGACTTGGGTCGAGGATGGGAATGGTGGCCGACGGTAGTTTGGCAGTTTCTCTGGTCGTGGATTGTAAGTCACCATCGATTCTGTAAGCAACATCACCATGTTTCTAACGTGTGTAGATTGCCCCCACGATGCTTTGGAAGGCTTGGGGCATCCGCGACACAATGGGATGGCGCACACAAACCATTGGATGCTGCCTCGCCAGGTTTGTGACACACTGACTCGTCCAGTAATCTTCATCGTTGCTGATCTCTATCTAGTCTCCACGCTACACCGATGTTTCTCATTGCTTCGTATGTCCCGGCGTTTGCGAAGGTCAACCAATACTTCACTCCAAGCCAGTGGTAAGGCCTCAACCTGAAGCCATTTATTTGATCTCAAGAAACCGCAGCTAATAATAGTATTTAGGTTACATCTCTCGTCCATGGTGTTCGAGATCTTTGCCGTCTTTGTGCCAGCATTCCAGGTCATCCGATTGCGAATTCTAAACAAGAAGGCAAGGGATGCGAACGCCAAGTGGGACACGTCGTCTCAATCAAGTACTTTGAGGCCTATGTCTAACGCTATGGGCACTTGCGTCAACTGCAGGCGTGAAGCCTCAGCCAGCCAGTTGGAGAAGGGCCTCGCAAACGTGTACCAATCAGACAACATTGAAATCGGCCCGGAGCCGGATAGCCGTCTTCTCACGATGAGCGCTCTCGACCACGCCCTCCGCGAGAACACCGGTTCTCTTCAGGAATTCTCGGCTCTCTGCGATTTCTCCGGAGAGAATATTGCCTTCCTGACCCGCCTGGACGCATGGAAGACCTCAACTTGGCCTCAATTTGCTCTGAACTCGAAAGCTCATTCACTGAGTGGTGAAGAGATGCTGGAAGCCTTCAACAGCGCCCTCGACATCTACGCGGACTTTATCTCGATCAATCTCGCCGAGTTCCCTCTAAATCTTCCATCAACCGAGCTCAAGCATCTTGAAGCTGTTTTTGAGAAGCCCGCTCGCATTCTCTTCGGCGAAGACTCTTCACTGAACCACATCACCCCCTTCGATGATGCGTATCACACCCGTAATGGTCAGACCTCAGGCAGTGGACAGGACATCCGAGGCCAGATCCGCTACACCGGCGAGATTCCCTCCAGCTTCAACCCCAATGTGTTTGACAGCGCTCAGGGGCACATCAAGTATCTCGTTTTGACCAACACCTGGGCCAAGTTTGTTAAAGAGATGCACCAAAGGAGGCGGTCAAGCGAAGCAAGCAGGAGTGTCATATCGACAGAATCAGAGACATCGCTTTTGAACAGGGTCTCCACAAAGGTTACAGATATGATGCGTGGGAAGAGTCGCTCGGATTCTTCTTGAAAGCCTTCGTGACAGGTGTACAGTCACTCATTCATTCGTTTCTTCCTCTTTGCTTCTATCCAATACCCGGGAGATTTCCCACACCTACACAAATGTAATCAGACATTTAAACAGTAAGACATATCTAAGAATAGCCAGTTACATAATTGATACCAAAATCGCAATGGAAGAAACACATTGCACAGTAATTTTGCAGTAGTAGCATATCTGTGTAATATCATTGCTATCGCGGGTTTTGGCCCAATCGTTATGAAACTGACATGCATTGAAACGTCCCAAGCGGGAATTTTCTCAGAATTTGATCATCTCTACTTGAAGTGCTAAAGACACAATCAATGACTCAAACCCTTCGCGTGCGCCTTTGCAACATCCTTCCAGTATCTTTCTGCGCTCTTCTCTCGCATCTTCCTGCCATATCTAGTCATGACAAAAATACTGGCATTCCACACAAATCCAATGGCGCCAACGGTGATGAAAGTATCGCGATAGCCCATGTGGTTGAGCCAGGGAGTGATGCCGTAGTTTATGGCGAAGCTCATCGTATTACGAATGATGACGCAGGTGGTGATCATGTCGCCGCTCAGTTGCGGGTATGATGCGATAGCATAACCCAGAGATCCTGCGACCGCCAGAGCGTTGTTGATAGCGAGCGTGAATTGAGAGATAATGAGCCCCATCCAGTGGATATGGTAGGCAACTCCAAGGCCGTAGAGGATCATGCTGAAAGGCACCAAAAACATCGAGGCCGCGAAGAGCCACAGAGAATGCTCTGACTCGGAAATTCCGTTGTTGCGACGCGCGAGGCGAATTGTCAGGATCTTTCCAACCTTGCCGCAATAGTAACCTCTGCAGGAAATATGTCAGTTATCATTACAAAACAAACCAAAGCATTTGGACTAACCCGATGATGGTACCAAGAACGCCTCCCGCGTAAGCGCCAGCCACACCGGCGGTAGAGAAGCCGTACATGGTGGTGTACACGGTACCTGTTGTGGCATTCTGAACACCAGACCACACCAAGTTGTTGGCGCCGTACATCAATCTGAATTCAGTTAGGCCGCAGTCCTGCTCCAAAGATACCATTGAACTTACCCAGCGTAAACGACAGAAGGATACGTGAAGCCTCGGAGGGCGCCAAGAGCAATATCCAGCATTCGGTTGGGTCTCGGCTTGTCCTTGATACCTAACTTCTGGACAAAAGTCTTGCGTGGGTACATAACCTGTCCAGTCTCGCTGTCGACGGGGTTGGTGGTCGGAGTTCCCTGCTTCTCTGTTGTGTTCGCAACTTTCGACTCCTCCTCGCTGCCAGTTGCAGATTCTGTTCGTTGCGCTTCCGAGATGACGGGTGTTTCATGGTCCTCCAGTCTCGCGGGACGATCGTAGTTGGTCTCTTCCATGAAGAGGAAACAGTACACCAAAGCAATTCCGTTGAAAATTGCGCACCACCACTGCGAGGAAGAGAATATAGTCAGCATCCACCCTAAGACCGAGGTTGAGATGAGGTATCTTACCAGAGTCCACTTCCATCCCATACCGACGTTGATGAAACCAGAAAGCATAGGAGCAAGCTTGCCTGTCATAGAGAGACCCCATCCATAGAGCGCAAGGTACTTCGGGCGTTGATGAGCGAACCACTACGCACCAATTAGTCTTCATTCGCTTATATAACAATCCTTTTTGAATGTTGCGCCTACAATGTCGGTAATCGAGATTTCGCAAAGTGATTCGACGGGTGCTCCGAAAAGGCCAAGCAGAATACGGCTCGCAAGATAGGTATGCTTTGTAGTGCACATCGGTGCAGTAGCGAGGATAATCTGAAAGGCAAATCTAGTTAGACAACAATCTTTCCAGGGTCTGCATTGGATGGTTTACAATGTTCGCCGCAAGGGAAGCCAGGTAAGCAGGTCGCTTGCCATATTGGAGAGCGAGAGGTTGCCAGATGACGCATCCCCAGCCGTAGAAGAGAAACTAAAACACATGTCGTCAGAAACAGTATCTTGAAATCGCACAGCCGGACTAACCATGATTCCGGTTCCATTGTTGATGTCGGCCAGCGATAATCCTGTCGCTTTTCGAATGGGAGTGACGACGGAGTAGACTGCACTACTTGGAATGGCAATCATGATGGTGTAGAGCACAACGCATGATGTAGCCAGCAGCTTGCGCTTTCTAGTCCAATTCAGAGGGTCTTCTGGGTCTTCTGAAGGGCGAGGAATGAGCACGATATCGTTCTCGCCCGAGCCTGACGCGTGCTGCCCAATAACGGAGCCATCTACGTCGATGAGCCTCGAAGTGCCTGGAGGTAACCCATCTCCTTCCGCTTTGGTGTGGTCTTGAGCCATGGCCGCAAAGAGAACCTTCTTTCAAGTTTGGCTATCTCAGAGGACGATTTCTACAAGGAGGGGGAAAATTGGCAGGAATCGGGGAGGCCAAACAGAAGCGACGACAACGCAGCGGCAGAGTATGGGTGCCTCTTTACTACTTATCGCTTCCGCTGATCGACTGCTTGGGTGAAGATATGGTCTTGGCTCACCGAGGTGAGCTTTACAGAACAGTTCAATGGAGCTATCTTGAAGTGATGATAAGCTGCGCCCGACAGGGGAAGCTATGAGCGCGGAGCATGCGGGGGCAAGCTGATAACATATCTGGGGCAAAGACTACCAGATATCTTTCGGGGACGCTCCGACACCAATCCTACCCGCTCAAAGGACCCATTACATGCTTTTTTCGGGATTCGGATATCTTCATCCAGTACAATTGCTTGTTTGCGAACTTGGGGAGGCGGGTTTCGTGCGGAGCTGACATGCGGGAGGACTGGATGACCATTGTAGTGGAGAATGGACCCGCTTCTGCACTCAGTTATGGCAGTTGACAGCGATAGGCGGAGAGGCGATCGCCGCCGCACAAGATAGCTCCAACTGATAACGAAGAACCGACTGGCTGGAAGAAACCGTACAAAGTGTCTGGGCTCTCTGACAAGCGAAGGTATGAAGGCTGGTGATTTACAGAGATTGACGCAAGTGCCGGCATACTGTTGTAACGTCGTTGAATCATTTCCTCCCTGATATCATGGCTATCACGGCCCTTGCAAAGAGTTGGCGAGAGCTAGCCCAGACGTGCATTGACATCCAGAAGAAGTCTATTCCGAAGGATTACGAGCTGCCGCAAAGTCAACTGCCGCCCAAAGATCGCCGAAATGTTCAAAATGTTCCCTATGAGGCAGGAATCCTCACGCCCGAGGAGCTGGAAATGACGGAACAAGATGCAGCGGGTTTGCTGGAAAAGTACAGATCTGGCCAATGGAGTGTCAGACAGGTTGTCACAGCTTTCTTGAAAAGGACAACAATAATTCACCAATTGGTATGGAGGCTATTGGCAGACTTTTGGTGCACATGCTGATGATTCGACGCTTGAAGACCAACTTCGCTACAGAGATTCTCGCTGAATCCGCTTTGCAGAAGGCCGATGAGCTCGATGCTCACTATCGAGAGACCGGTCAGTTGGCAGGGCCGCTGCATGGTGTTCCGATCTCAGTGAAGGTATGTGGGAACTTTTGTGTCTGCTTTGATGGAAAAGCCCAGATGGCTAAACTGCCCTGAATTCGCAGGAGCACATCGGTATGGGTGGTCGAATTACCCATGCCGGTTTTGTGGCGAAGATCTCGAACATCCCGTCCGAAGACGCGCTTTCAATCCGCATTCTGAAGCAGGCAGGCGCAGTGATTCACGTTCGAACAAATCAGCCTCAGTCTCTGATGGTACGTGACAACATATTTCCCAAATCATCTTCGTCTTAAGACTTGTTCAACTGACGTTGAATCGTTTGCTATAGCATCTGGACTGCAATAACAACATCACTGGGCTCACTTTGAACCCCCATAACGTCCTTCTTTCTCCCGGCGGCTCTTCAGGAGGTGAAGGCGTTTCCATTGGCGCAAAATGCTCTGTTATGGGCGTAGGCACCGACATTGGTGGCAGCATTAGAATTCCGGCCGCTTTCAATGGCTGTTACGGACTCCGCCCGACGGCTTTGAGAGTTCCTTGTCTTGGAAACTTTGGTATCACCTTTGGTCAAGAAAGCATTCGTGGGGTTGCGGGTCCACTGGGACAGAGCGTGGATGACCTGGACAGGTTCATGAGTGCCATGCTGGGAGCAGAACCGTGGCAAACAGAAACTTCATTGGTACCTTTGCCTTGGCGGCAAGTAGCGCTGAAAAAGGACATTAATATTGGTGTCATGTTTGATGACGGGTGAGTACTTTGAGCTCTTTTGCATGAGACTTCGAAGATGACTAACAGATGCGATTTATCAGATGCGTCAAGCCTCACCCACCAGTTCTTCGAGCTCTTCAACATGCAACAGACAAACTTAAGGCTGCAGGAATCAAGGTCGTGGAGTGGAAGCCTTTCGACCATGAACGTGGCTGGAAGATAGTCGTAAGTCAAGGCAACTCGTCTTCAATCACAAAGTCAGACATCATGCCGGCGCAGCCGCTGACTTGACACGCGAAGTCCTCACTGTACTTCCCACAAGGCCCGAAACCGTACCTGGACACCTTTGCCGAAGGGGGTGAACCAGCGCTTCCACTGACGCACCACGCCTTTGCATTTTCCAAGTCTCGGCCGCTTACAATAGCTGAGAACTGGGCTTTGAATGCTGAGAGAGAGGCATACCGACGCGAATATCACGCTTTGATGAAGGCAAAGGGCGTTGACTTCATCCTTTGCCCTGCATACGTCGGGGCGGGAGTGCTGCAGGGCGGAGCAAAGTACTGGAACTACACGGCCATTTGGAACATTCTTGACCAGCCAGCATCTATTCTCCCAAGCGGACTCCGGGTCGATAAGAACATTGATAAGCCTGAAGAGGCATACACGCCAAGGAATCAGCAGGATGAGGAAGAATGGAAAGCATGTAAGTTAATTCCTCCCGTCGATCATTCCAAGCACGAGGAAAGCTCGGTCATGCTAATCATCAGTTTCAAGACGATCCGGATACTTTTGATGGCACTCCAATTTGTCTGCAGGTTGCGGGCAAACATTTTGAAGATGAGGAAGTGCTGCAGGCAACACGGTTGATAGACCAAGTTTTGAAAAGCAGTGCATGATTTCCGGAGTTTGTGCGCAAGACGCTCGCGCTTTAGATTTTTATAGACCATAGAAATAGATCTAAATCGCCGCTGCGATTTCTAACTTTGGCGTTTTGGGCGCCATCCTGAAGATCCTTCTCTGTTCATACTTTCCTATTGCCAATTACATACTCAAAACCGTCGACGATTTCTCATTACAGCATCATCTTCTTGTTTGCCGTTCCGACGTCGCAGATTAATTTCAACGTCGATACGATTTGAAAATCCACTGGTAGTTCGCGAACAAACATCGACAGGGGGGGCGGGGTCGATGCAACGGTGACGTATGGGTCCCGGAAGCTTATCATCGGCGCTTCTAACCGTGTGCCGCGGAATAGATAACGCAGCTGCATCCATTGATAACAGCCAACATCTTGCTGGGTCTTCGCTCGGCCTTTCCTCTATCAGAGCCTACCCAATGAGTTCATTGGGGAATGTCGAGCGTCGCTGTCAGATGCCTTTTCCAAACTTGTAGGTTTGGTGGGATTAGAACTGGACGGACATGATTGGCGCATTGATCCCCCAGCACTTCCTGGGCAACTGACGGTTGATAGTGACCTCAACCTAGTCGGACTTAATTATCTCCAGTGCGATGTGTGGATTCCTGTCGTATGCAGTTCTTTCGTGAGGTCGGCAAGAGCAACACGGGCGGCGTCATGAACGGTGGCAGCACCGAGATCACCGATGACTGGATGTGCGAACATCACGAAATCAACACCTTGGCAGAATAGTTTTGCGGATTCGTGTATCATTTCTGAGTTATCTCAAACGACGTTATTCTCCTTTAGACAGCTCTCCCTTTGACTTCCAAATCTCGTACTCAAAATCGGGCTGAAACTCAGTATATAATGTTTCCTACAGATAAACTGTCAGCGATCATTCGAGCACGAGGAATTAAGGGTACGCAATAGCATGAGCACTTACCGGATCAGCATTGACCTTTGCCGTGAAGTCTGCCGCCTTCTCACTAATGTGGTTCTTTGGCAGCCCAGTGCTCTCAACCATGATTTGGACCTCGCAAGACTTCTCCATCAGCGTGAAGAGATAGGCCGCCTCGTCGACGGTGCCTCCAGTTGTGAGTAGACCGTGGTTTTGGAGAATCATAACACGACCCGTGCTTCCAAGAGCTTCAACAATATTCTGACTTTCCTCGGCATCCAGTACAACACCACCGAATGACTTGTACACAGCTTGTGTGCCCCAGAAGTTACAGCTGTCTTGGTTGATGATATCCAGTGGTCTGCCAAAGGTTGACCATGCCTTTCCAGCTGGCGAATGTGTATGACAGGCCGCATGGATATCTGGTCGAGCCTTGTGAATGATACTGTGAATCATGAAGCCTGCAGCGTTGACGGCGACTCTGTTGCCCCCTATGACTTGCCCATCCTCATCAATGTGAACCATGTCGCTGGCCTTGAGCATACCAAAGTGCTTTCCGAGACTCCAACAGGTCAGTATCTTGAACCACAAAGGTCATAAAGAGAGAAACTCACGGGTTGATCCAGAATGTGCTGGGATCTACCGGGTCACGGACGCTAATGTGACCACTGGTGCCCTCAGTAAAGCCTTTACGAGCGAAGACTCGGAAGGCGCCTGCCATGTGCTCAAGTTGCCATTGTCGTTTCTTGTAAGGGTCGGTAATGTTGGGGATTCCAGCAAAGGTGAAGCCGCCAGTTGCCAAGGCAGCAACGCCCGTTTTCTCCGACGTCTTCTCAGAAGCAGTTTCCAAAGCGATGGTGTTGGTGCTCTCAACCGGCTCAGCCACCGTAGTAACTGTTGTGGTCGACATGGTGACAATGAAGGGCTCTTTGAGTAAGCTGATCTATCGAGATATGTGAAAAGAATGGCCAGGTTCTCAGTTGAACGCAATCTTATCAATGCCTCGGATTCGCCTTGAATGTGCTCACTCTAGTAAATTCCCACTTCATCTGGTCCGCGGTCCGACATAGTCGACGCGACGCCTCCATACACCGATATTGCTACCCTGCCAGTGTCAAGCTCCACTGTGGCCGCTTACTCGGGCAATTCACAGAAGTCCTTTCGCTGTCGACTTCCCCGTAGAATGAACCCTGCATGAGCTCCACCTGGAGCTATCATGAGCTTAGCCTCTTTCGGCAGGCAACTGATACCCGTATCTTGACCCAGTTCTTCCCCGCGATGATTGTCAGATTGAAGGCCCAATGAATTGCGGAGAAAGTCAAAGTGATACTCTGCCATCCTGCTCTCGCTCCCAACTTCCTTCCCGTCAATGCGAACGATGCAGCTTGATTTCATGCACCCCACAGTCTCCGCGAAGCAGCCCGATGCAGTCCCAAGCTCGTTTGAATGCACCCAGCCGTAAGAGGACCAAGACTTTCACCGGCTGCTGGACTTGCCGCGGGCGCAAAGTCAAGTGCGACGAGATAAGACCCCATTGCCGCGAATGCCGTGCAAGAAATTTGCAATGCGAAGGTTATGGGGCCCGTTTGCAGTGGCTAAGTCCAGAAACAGGTGTCCCTACTCGCAAGGGTTCTCTTGGTCCTGAAGAGGCGGGATTTCCATCGAGACGAGAACTTCCTCTGTGTAGGTGTTCTATGCCAGAGTTGAACTCTTGACTAACATGAGGATTAGCACCTATCAAGCAGGTTCTATCATGGAGTCAAGTTGATGGCATCTTAAAGACGATTGAGTCATTTGATGCAGCGTCGTCTTGCGGTGAAAATGGGCATCTACACGTTCAGAACTTTGGCGTATTCATGGCAAGAAGAGCTCTAGAGTCTAATGATTTCGGACTGAATGAGGACGTAATGCCCAATGGTCACATTGAGACTAATATTAGCAACCAAACTCCTGGATCAGACTTGGACGACCATCACTCTCCGCCGCATGTGGTGAACAGTCAGACTCCAAATGGTTTCGCATCACCTTCAAACTCGGAAGCGGCGGTAGCATGGGAGTTATGCAACCTCCATGAGCATCAGGCTCGTAGGCCTTCAGTTATCAGGCATTGGCAACCGCAGACTCTCTCTGATGGTGCCTGTAAGATCAAGGCTATTCGCCCGAGTAGCTCACAAATCTCTGAGACGGAGCAAAGCCCACCACAATATCAACGTCAACACACGGGAATCATTCTGCCCAAAAGCCCCCCAATGTCCATCTTCCCCAGCCAAGATCGCTTCTTGATGCATCACTATGTCCATACAGTAGTGAACATATTCTGTGTCATCGACAATGCCAAGAGTCCCTGGAAAACGATTCACATTCCCAGAGCCATCCAGGGTATCGGGGAGATGGATGTCATGGGGTCAACATCCAGAGTGCGCAGTGCCCTGAGGAATGCTTTGCTCTCAATCAGTGCCTTCTTCCTGGCCAATGTTCGAGCATCTGAGTCACATCCCAACGAAGCTGTCAAGTGGGTGGAGGAGGCGATGCAGTACAGATATAATGCCATCGGGCTGCTGAAACAGGCAGTTGAGAGTGACCTATATTCAGGAGGAAAGCCTAAGTATAAGGAGTACCTTGCCACCATGCTATCAATGATCACGATCAATGTGAGTTGGCAGCTATTTTGATTGTAAACCTCGTTCCAAATCTCTAACCGTCCTCTTCTCAGATCATGTCAGGAGATACCAGCACCTGCGCTGTGCATCTAGATGGTGCGAAACAACTCATCAGCCATAACAGAAAGTCCAGGGTATCAGGAAAGACGCGAGCCTTGCATCGCATCTACTTTTATCTTCGAATCATATACGAAAGCACGGCCATTCATCCATCTGGTGGTGATGTTCATGCTTCACCGGCTAGAGAGGCCTCCGACCAGTCTGAGGCCTACATCTCAGCGGACTTGAGTGATTCGCATTCTGAAGATCAATCTGAAGAACCCACTGAGATGGCTAGCTTTGAGTGTATCTACGGTATACCTCGAAGTCTCTTGCTCCTCCTGAAAGATACAACCAATCTCATCAAACAGGTTTCCCAGGCAAGAGAGTCTGGCCAATCGTCAGAGATTTTTGAATCGTTGAAGAGCCAATGCGATAGTCTGGAGAAATCCATTCTTGACTGGTCGCTAGAAGACGAGCTTGCTCGATGTTGTCAAACCAGTACTAGCACAAGCTTTGACATCATCTTCAATCAAACGAAGTCTTTCCATAATGCTCTAATCATTTATTTTGCCCAAAACATCCATCTCCTCAGCTTTCGATACCTTCGACAGTACGTGGAGGCAGTGTTGCAGGGAATCGAAGCTATCGAGAATATCAAGACCGACAACAATATTTTGGCAGCTCCGATCTTCTGGCCAGCGTTCATTGCAGCAACGGAAGCATTCGATCCTCAACAACAAACTCGTTTCCGGAAATGGTACGAAAGAGTTGCGATCTATGGGATCAAAGCAGTCAGGACCGGGAGCCGAGTAGTGTACAAAGTCTGGGATAGAGGTCCGTCAACAGACGGTCGAGTGACGAGCCTGTGGAGAACTATTATTGAGCAGACCGGGGAAACACTCATGTTGACTTGATTAGGAATTTTGCAACTTTTCTAAACAGTAAAGAAGGCTTAATCCCTGAAGCACCAAACTCTCATCCCCCCATTGCCGCCACGATTTGCCCGGGCATAGTACGGTATGAACACGAGATCTCTTTCCTCACCACGTTCCCATGGCTTGTGACTATACAGCTTTGAGCCGTTCGCATTCTTCAGTTCTGTTCCCCTGGCAATCACAGGGGTGACCTCATAGCCCAGAATATCCAGTGGAGAGCCATCCTTCAGGCTTGTCGTCGAAAGGATGACGTTATCAATGTCCAGCTCGTTGTCGACATCTTCGATGCAATACACCAAAGGCCCGCGCCGAACGCATACCTCATTTTTGCCAAGTTTTGGGTTGGCGTACATGAGCTGCGGCTTGAAGCTGAAGACAACTTGAACCCTTCCATCTGTTCCTTCTGGCAGGTACAGATATCCGTCTTTGCATGTGCCGTCGCCATTTGACCCATCAATCGTGTAGCCATCCGACCACCCAGGAATCCTCAAAGCAATTGTAACTGTGCCTGACCACGCTATCTCGACCTTTCCAGACCAAGGTGCAGCAGTTTTGATCGCAACCACAGCGTCGCTTCCAGGCACGTGAAGCACACTCTCGATGTACAAGTGAATGGCCACTCTTTGATCTTGCATGGTGTAGATGAATGCTCCAAGATTGCCAAGAAGCTTGGCGACGTTTGGCGGGCAACAGGCGACGTCGAACCACCGACTCCGCTCCTTCGGTCGGCCTGTGAACGTGCGAAGAGGGTTCTCATAGTAAAACGACTCTCCGTCTAGACCGATCGCGCCAAGGAAGCCGTTGTACAGACCAATTTCCATAACATCGGCGTACTCGGAGTTGAGGTTGAGACGAAGCATTCGTTGGCACCAGCCAATCATTCCAAAAGTTGCGCAAGTCTCAGCATAGCAGACACCACCCTCTTCGGTATCCCCGAGCACGTATGGGTGTCCAAATCCCTCCCATTGACGGACAGAACCCAGTCCGCCCGTGATGTACATCTTCTTGTCGACCATATCTCTCCATAGCGCGGCCAGAGACTTGTGGATACCTTCATGCTTTGTCAAACGCACGAGGTCGGTTGCGGCGGTCATGAAGTACATGGCTCTGACAGAATGACCCACCAATTCAGTCGCATCTGCTAGCCGCCGATCGGCTTGGTGGTAGCCGTAGTCTCTAGGCATCCGGTAAGTCGGTCTGAACTCAAAGCTGAGCCAATCCCCAGGATCGTTTCCTCTGGCCCAAGCTTCTTTGTCAAAGTAGATCTCGTCCTTCTCATCTCTTGTTCCGCGCTCGAGGATGAAGTACTGAGCTACTTGCAGAAGAAGGGGGTCCTTGGTCATTTCGTATAGCCTCAACAATCCAATTTCGATTTCTTGATGGCCAGGATAGCCGCGTCTCTTCCCAGGCTCTGATCCAAAGATTGAATCAATATGCTGCACAACTTTCATGACCGGTTCCAGAAGCCGTCCGCTGCCGGTCAAGGTCTCGTAGGCGACACATGCTTCGATGAGGTGGCCGATACAGTACAGTTCGTGCATGTCGCGGAGATTCGTCCATCGTTTTTCGATTCCTCGCACGGTGTAATACGAATTGATGTAGCCATCTGGGTGCTGTGCTCCGCGTATGTTGTCCACGGCCTCTTCGACATTCCTCATCATCTCCTCGTCGGCGTGTGTCATGAGGAAGTAGCACGCCGCTTCGGTGGCTTTGTAGACATCGCTATCCCAAAACGGCTGCACAAGGTTGTTAGCAGAAGCCTATGTGCCTTGGAGTTCCAATATGAACTATAGCTTTTACTCACGTGGGGCTGGGGTTGGTGGCCTTCTTTCCATTTCAAACAGTCCCAGTGGCCTGATTCTTTTTGGGCTTTGACCAGAGCGGGTATAGTTTTCAATCGGCCACTGTCACGTAACTGCGCCCAGAAGGAAGATGTGATCTCGACATTTCGCGTGGGGACCTCCATGATGAGTTACCTCCAACACCAAAACTGATGCTCACTGTTAGATCACGAAGAAAAAATTGGAAATATGAAGAATCCCAAGCGAAAGCCTCAAAAGTCAGGGATAATGCAAATGAGGGGATCTGAGGAGTCTCAAACAGTGCCTACGAAGCGCTCCAATAAGATTCATGTGGCGAGTGTTGGCACCTCATACGTCACTTGCTGAGACCATCCAACACCCGATCTGCAACCTGCAGTAGCTAAAATGTAGTTCTTACAACCAACTCTATCCCACCCTACAGTAGATTGTGAAGCCGGCAAGGATTGGAGCCGCATGCCGCGGCAAGCGTGGGGTCCGACATCAACAATGCGGGGTAATATCGCCTGTTTATATGCGAGGTTATTGATGCGTACTGCATGTTTAATGGATGCACTTAGCCTAAGATGTCATCTTCCAAGCAGCTGTCGTACCGAATGCGAAATGCAGATGGATTCCTGTGAAGCGTCACGAGACCTCTGGACACAGAATCGCGGGGGTGTTGAGGATTCGACTCCTAGAATTTCTCCGATTGCAGGCCATTAAATGACATGAAGGTAGGGGAGTATTGTGGCTGTACTCTGAGCACACGCTCATCCCAACAATACCACAGTGAGTCCAGGATCATATGGGCATCCATGGATACCCAATGGAAGGCGAGTTTTCCCATCGGCTTTGGAGAGGCTTTACTGGACTGCCCTACTCGAATGATCATATGTTTTGCCACATGCCTTTCTCCACTGTCAGACTACATCTTGGGACGTGACAACCGGGATACATGTCAGAAGACATCGAGCTGCATTGAGGTGTACTGGCGGGAATAACTCGTCCCCAATGCCAAGTCGGCCGTCGGCCTTCGGGTGGTTAGCTTTGAAGCACTGAGAACCTCCTTTCTGATTCGCTACAACGGCCACACAAACCAGAATATCGGATTCCAGACAGCTCAAATTTGACTTGTCCCAGGAGTCTGGAAAGGTATCTGGGGAAGGATCTCACCATCCCCGCATCTAGACTGTTTACGTCGATGGTCTTGCAGGATACTCAACTGGAGGCCAACTCCATTAATAGTCACTCACATGCGATTGTCGTTTTTTACGTGGGATAGTGTCCTCGCCGGTTTACCTATAACTTCAGAGACAACACGGTTCCTTCAATTTCAGCTTCTGTGCCAAATACAATGTTCTCTTCACCCTGAACATGGCTCCTGGAACCCCTCCTGAGATTTCTGCTACAGCGCGTCAGCCTCATTCAGGGGCCACTGTGAACATTCCACTTGATAATATGGATGTCAAAGAGGTTCAAGTCCGCTCAGTGGAGCTAACCGACGCTGTCGCCAAAGACAAGCCGAACTACCGTTCTCGGTCGCAAGTCACTCTCTGCGTGATCATCCTATTTGTCACATTGAGTAAGTGAATGATCGAAGTCCATTCTCTCAAATGCGATGGCTTACTTCCTGCTCGTCAGATGGCTGCATGAACGGATACGACGGCTCCGTGATGAGCTCTATCAATGCTATGGACCAGTTTCACGAACACTACGACGTTGGCAGAACTGGACCTACGATTGGTCTCGTCATGGCTATCTACACTGCTGGTCAAATTTGTGGAAGTATCTTCTCCGCTGGAGTTATTGACACTTTCGGTCGAAAATACGGGATGGCAGTTGGCTCGGCCTTTATCATTGTCGGCTCTATCGTCCAGGCAACGAGCCAAACTCTTTCCGCGTTCATAGGCGGCAGGTTTATTGTCGGATTCGGCGTCCCCATGTGCACGATTGCAGCACCGACTTATATCGTTGAGATGGCGTACCCCACATGGCGAGGTCTGGCCGGCGGTCTCTACAACGTCTTGGGCTGGTATATTGGCTCTTTGAGTAAGTCACCAGTTATGCGCACTACCACTCTGCTGAATCTAATGCAATAACAACAGCTGCTACTTGGACGTGTTATGGCACCGCAAACATCCCCGGCGACATGTCATGGCGCGTGCCATATATCGTCCAGGTCGTCCCGGCGGCGGTCATGTCCGCTACGGTTTGGTTTATCCCCGAGAGCCCTCGTTGGCTCTTCGCTAAGCAAAAAGACGATGTCGCCAAGTCCGTACTTATCAAATACCACGGTAACGGCAATCCAGATTCTGCTGTCGTCAGACTTGAATGTGAAGAAATCAAGTTCTCCTTGGAGGTTGAGGCAGAGCTGACCCGTGGGAGATGGTGGGATTACAAGATTCTCATCAAAAGCCGCGCCAATCGCTATCGCATGTGGATTCTTGTTCTAATTACGGTGTTCAGTCAATTCACTGGCGGCGCTGTCATAAGTTATTTCTTGCCATGTGAGTCAATATAAACAATTCCCTCTGAATTCATCATCCTGTTTCAAAACTCCAACTCACACATACCTCACAGCCATTCTGGAGACCGTCGGCATCACATCGTCCTCTCAGCAGCTCCTGATGAATGCGTTAAACACGGTGTTCTCGTTCTGCGGCGGCATAGTCGGCGCATTTTTCGTCGATAAGGCCGGTCGCCGGCCCTTACTGCTTTGGGGAGTCTTTCTATCCGGCCTCGTGTACATCCCCATCAACGTTTTGGCAGCTCTTTCCGGTGGTCACATAGACACGGCATCAGGATACGCATTCATCGCGATGATATTCCTTTATGGAATCGTCATGTCATTCACATGGACACCGCTTCAGGCGCTGTATCCAGCAGAGATTCTCAACACCGACATACGGGCTAAAGGAATTGCAGCAGACAAGTTTGTTTCAGGTATCGCGAGTTTTATCAACCTGTACGCGACACCGATTGCTCTCAAGGACATTGGATGGAAGACATACACCATCTTCCTGGTTCTTCATTTCGTCCATCTGGTGCTGATGTACTTCGTTACCGTTGAAACCAAGGGAAGATCTTTGGAAGAGCTTGAGGAAATCTTCAACGATCCGAAACCTGTTAAGCGGAGCAAACAGCTCAGCAGAGTTGTTGTCGGAGCTGGCGTTGGTGTCAAGGTTGCGGATGCTTAAGAATTTGTCTGCCTAACAGTCTGTCCCAAATGCCCAATCATCGATACAACGAGGCTAGTTCTATTCTTGCAATGACTCTTGGATATGGATCAAACTGGTTTCCATGTGAAACAAAAAGTACTAAGTTACTCAATCTTCCTGGGCGTAATGTAGCAGTTAACAGGTCCCTTCTCCCAAAGCAAAAACGCCTGGCTCCTCTCGTCCCATCCCTTGCTATCCTCCGCAATCCTCATGTCAAAGTTCCAGACCATTCTGGCAACGATCAAACGCATCTCCGCATAGGCCAAGCTGTTTTGTGGTCAGTTTCACGTTGTACCAGGTGATAGCCCGGGGCAAACTCACTTTCTTCCGATGCAGTTCCTTGGGCCAACAGAGAAAGGCTGGAAGGCCTCCTTCCTGTCACCAGAGAATCGCGGATCGTCGAGCCAGCGCTCGGGAATGAAGGAGTCGGGCAAAGTGAAATGGTCGGGGTTGTGGAAAACAGGCCAGTGCCAAACCTGGACAAGGCTCTACGCTTCATTAGTTGTGCGACCAAGCTGTTTCTGACGCTCAACTTACTCCTTTTGGTACGTGTTGTCCCAAGAAAAGACCATCACCCTCAGTGACCCTGCGCATAATGCCCGTTGGAACAGGCGGATACATGCGGAGACTTTCGTTGATGATAGCCTGCATGTACTGGAGCTTCTGCACGCTGACCATGTTGATGTCGTCTTCAGTGGCAAAGGCCGATCGGACCTCGTTGTTGAGCTTCTCTAGAGCACTTGTATGGGTGGTGAGATAGTACGTGATGGCCGACAGCGCGGTCGCAGTAGTCTCAGATCCCGCGACGATCAGAGTTGAGGAGTTTGCACGCAGCTCTTCAAACTGCAGCTCCTGTGAAGACATTAGCGAGGAAGTCCGGATATAATCGCAAAATCACATACCATGGGACCCTTCTTCCGCGTCATGGAGTCCATAAAGTCCGGGCGCTCCGTCTGAGTAGCAAGTCGTTGCCTGACCTTCTCGCGTGTGAGTTGCATGTGCTGTTCTCTCTTGTTCTTGATGCTCGTAGGCATGAACTTCATCAAAAGGTTCTCGATAGGAGGGTAACGTCGAATGTTAAACTTAAAGGCCCCCTCTTTCACGCCGGCGAACAGAATTTTGACCCAAGGGTGGTAGTCGCTGTTGTCCAAACAGCCGAAGGGTTCGCCAAACGCCAGGTCTCCGATTACGTCGAAAGTCGTCCAGTTGTACCACGCAACCATGTCCAGCGGCTTAGATCCTCCAGCACAGTTCTCATGCAGCCGCTGGAACAGCAAGTCCACATACTTCTTGATGATAGATTCTTGATCGAACATTGACTGAGCCGAGAAGCCATGGGACAGCGCTCGTCGGTATCGGGAGTGATCTTCGCGGTTACCGCCAATAATGCTTTGCCTGTTATCGCGCATGAAGACTTCATCCCTGCCGTGATCGCCAGTTCCGTTCTTGAGGTTACCATGCAAGTCCTTCCATGCGTCGGGGTGGTTGTAGGCAAGCTCGTTGGGGGCGACTCGCACGATTGGGCCATACTCTTGGTGAAGCTCAAAGATTTTCTTGTGCATTTGACCAGAGAGGTATGCCCGGGTATACGGAAGACGAGTCGCGGCCCACCACTTTGGCCCAGGGTATTTTCGCAGGGGATGGAAGCACACATTGTAAGTGAGGACCGAAATAAGAGTGACCAGGCCCTGTTCGCGATGTTAGAAATCAACGCAGCTGGAATCCGACTTCGAAGAAAAGGGGTTGACGCACCAGGCAAGTCACTAGCAAAAGTCCCCACGCGATGTTGTGAAGAGTGAAGAGCCGAGCTCTGTCATCGAGAAGATACGTTGCCATATTTGCTTTGATGCGTCCAAATTGCTCCAAAACCGATCCAAACTCGGTTACACTTGGAAACATGAAGCTGTAGGAGTATCTTTCCCATCGAAGACTGGACTGAAGTCTCTTTAATCCAAGCAGAGAGCGGGATTCGGTCCAGGACTCTGCAGCCGAAGCCCCTATGAAACGACGATCTTCGAGACACAACTGCAGGGCACGGTTGCATCTCTGTGGGTATCACGCGAAGTCCGCGCATAATCCGGCTGTCATCGCGCCTCCGGACCCCGCGATTTGCACAATTATGTGCATAACTCGTCCGGCTTGGCCCGCGTCCGGCCCATTCCGCCCCACTTGAGATCGCAGATTGCGGCACATCCATGCCGCGGTGCAGCCGTTGTGCAGTCGGCAGTTCTGATCGTTTGATTTAAGAACTTGCGGAGCTGCGGAGCAATCCGTAAGGCCTGACTGAGCGGTAATCTTCATGTAATGATTGGGCGCGAGAACGTCGCTCGAATGCGAGATTTCATAAACCTGGCTTCCAAGCCGGCTAAGGGCAGCCCCTCCCGAAAAAAAGGCTATACGGGGCACGGAGTTCAAACGTCATGATGAACCGGACGATGCTACCCTTGCTTGAAAATATCGGCGTTGATAGGTTCATGCGTCTGGAAGCGAGGAGTGTTCGCGATCCCGACACGTCTAGCTGCATCTTTCTCAGGCCACAATAATATGCATTGGTACGCACCATGTGCGTGAACGCGGAAATATTCAAACGTCCGTGCTTCAAGTCTGCATAACTTCCCCGTGGCAAGTGACATCCATGTCTGTGCGGCACAAACTGCCAATAACGCAAAGGCATTTACAGTCAGGCGATCAAGTTGAAATTGGTGAACCATGACGTGTGCTCTTGAGAAGCTGAGGAGAGCGTTGCAGGTAAGTCGTCACGAGCTATGACAGTGAAACAGGAGTTCAATATTGGTTTTCGGCGCCGACGCGGCACCGACTTCGCACGGCCGAGTGGACAGACTTACCGGTCTGTGGAGCCATCAAGTCCGATGCCATAGGTTTCGATCCACGGAAAGTATTAGAAGGGACTTCTGTGCCATGTGCTCCATCTTCAAGATTTAACGGGGCCTCGACTGCGTTAAGCTCCGCGCAGCCGGTTTAAATCCGATATCACGCTGGTGGAGAGATCATACCATCCTCACACTGATCGAATTCTGCCTCGGACCAATCGTTGTGATTATTAAAAGGTATGCGTGGTGAATCAGGGCCAGCACATCAAGTGAGATCATCAGTCCCAACTTGCAAGAGGTATGCACTACAGACAACTGATCAACTCATTAGTTGTTGCGAAGATCAGTTGCAAAGGGACTTGGCATTTGCTTGGGTCCGTTTCTTGCATGTACCTTACATACGGACCATCAGACGAAAGTTCATATGATATATAATCTAGTGATCCAGGCAACCCCCATTCGATGGGGAAGTTGATGTAGTCGCCAATCAATGGTTGATGGCCATTGGTCGACCCTATCGATCTTAGCTCGTCGAATTGCTACCTCGAGCTGACATTGGTCATAGATCTGTGGACCTTGGGGCTGCGAGGGGCACGGCAACTTAGGTTCCTTCCAGACCGGGACTTTCCAAGAAAGTTCATACTTATTCGCAGGAGACGTTCAGTTATAAGACTTTCGGTCTAGACTAAATGATTGGGTAAAGTCTTGCTACCACGTGTCAGCCCCTCAACTGTGCCCGACTTTAGAGAATTCATCGAAAAGTATCCAAATCGAAAACCAAAAATGAGGAAAGCCATAGCTATCTGATTAAGATGTGAAAGGGTTGATGGAATTATGGCTTAGTAGCCAACTTTGGCATAAGTCACCGACGTTACATTGATGGATACAAGCCGCAAGCACCCAGAAACCATATATGCAGATGCTGACATGCTTATACGTACAAGTAGAATCAGCCACCTATTATCTGTCGGGCGTTCTTGGCATTAGAAACTAACGCTGCTTCCTATTGGCAGCCGGCCAGCGATGAAGCCAGAGCAAGCCTGGCATAGAAACTCTGGTAGTCATCCCACTCTTGCTTGCTTCAATTTCTCAAGATGACAGGTAAGTCTTCAGTTTCACGAAAGGATTTGAATGCTGGGCAGTCATCACCCCTTATACGAGCCTCAGGAAAGCCTTTGAATGATGAGACTGTTTGGGCTCTTGTCGTCTCCTATGAAGATTTGCATATTGTCACGGGCTAGAGCCCGGATTGATATCTCCGGCTTCGCCGGAGCAGTTACCGAGATCGGGCTCCGTTGGACCCACTATTCTGCCGCAGTACGCCGCCTAACCCGGCCTGCTTCACCGCTGTTAGGTGCCTACCCTTGTAAAGTCCTTTCTTCCTTCTTCAGCTTAGAATAGTCAATCGACGGCACCTCTACGCTGAACAAGCCTAGGGGCCAGCCCCTTACATTTAGGAACAAATGCTCCCGATCTCCCAGACCTTTTGTATAGAATTGTTGTGAGGGGGGAACCATCTCTCAATCCCAGTCCTTATTCTCTGGAACGTCGCATCAAGCCCTTCAAATTTGCAAATCCTTGATCTTCCTGCTGGCTCGTCTTCGGTAGTACTCCGCTGCTTCCGACTTGCTCGGAGTGGCATCTGGGAGAGCAACAAGCTTGTTTCCATCCTCTGTTGGCTCGCGTAGGAAGCGTTCGAGGGTGTTTTGTGGCGTCTCGGTGGTGGTATTTGGGTTATTTGATGAAACGGAAGCAATGTTGGCACTCCCTGTTGTGTGGCTATTTCGAGAAGGATTAACGATTAGCATACGACGCCTACAATCACAAGTGACAAAGACTCCAGATCAAGTTGGGAATAGAAACTTACTTGGACTGCATGGCTATCTATTGCGTATGCGGTGTGCCAGGTGGGAGATGTTCGAGAAATGCAGTATTTGAGAGATCAAATGTTAATTCTCTAATGTTGACACACTGAATTACCAAGAAAGTGCCACGGAACGATGTCCTGTTCAATGAGAAGATACGTTGCGATCATGGTGCTCCGGGGCTGTATAAATACTCTCCACTATCATAGATCTGAGATGGAAGATATCCTAGGTAAGTACAGAAGGATGCGACGGGGATTTGGCGTCGAGACTGTTCGCTTCGTGAAGCCCCAACGAGCTCGATTGATGCGTCGGTGGAAGGGGGTGCCCAATGCACGGGTATGGTTGTTGTTGTCCAGTGCTGACAGAATATTGAGCCATATGGTGGTCGAAACAAATTACTCGACCCTGTTTGAATTATGGGAGCCCCTTTGGTCGGCCCCCATAGACACCAAGGCAAACACTTTGGGCTGGCTGCCTTGCCTCAGCAAAATACGCGTTCACGAAAATGGCAATCGTGATGGAATCGTTCGTTACGGAATAATAAAATTGTATTTAGTTGTTGAGTTATGCAGGGCCTCTGAGCAACACATCTGAGGAGCACTATGTGAGCATAAAGATGGGGATGATGGACAATAGTATAGCACATTTGTGAAAGCCTTGTAGGATATGACCAAGCCGGATGGCGGGAAAAGACGTATGACTGCTCGAATCTTTCTGCGGGATAGGCAACATTCGTTTCGCTCGCAGAACCGTAGTCTTCCCGCTCGCCTCTCAGTCTCTCAGAAAGTAAAGCGAACCGGCACTGTTCGAACAGTGTTGATCAAATTTCTGCTCCAATAGGCGTGCAGGCTCAATCAGCTTGCACCATCCCACATGAAGCATCAGGCAGTTCTGAGGCCTCCACTGGAGGTATGCCTAATTTAATCGGCTCATGTACAGTATGAGAACTTAGGACAATGTGCATAAAAGCCTATGTCTATGCTGATGACACAAGTAGTATATGAAAGTGGAAATGTGCATACTCGGATGCTCCCTGTCCGAACGAGGGAGGGGATGGCCAGGTGAGTTGAGAAAGGGTTTGTTATGATGGGCTGTGCCTGGCAATTCGACAGGAAAAACAACAACAAAACTTATGAACATGATGGTTCGCCATTGGCCGCTCGGCCTGCCATCATATGAGGGGCTTGGGTGAGGCTGGCGTGTTTCTGAAGCCAAGTCAGACCTTGGGGCAACCTGTTGAGTCTAATGGGTGGGAAATGGGCGTCGTAGGGATCAGGTGTTGAGAGATTCACCGAAGCCTGCACAGCCTGAGGTATCTTTCGCATGTGAGATCGCGATGCCTCCCTTGCATTCCAGCTTCATTTCTTGTTATGGCGATGTCGTGGAGCGGCTGGTTAAGCCTCCCTTGACAGGCCAGTCCTCGGTTCATTTCGGGTCATGTGTCGTGTTCCAAGAGGGGTGGCTCTGCTCGAAATGCCAAGCTGTGGGTGTAGACAGGTTGCTGGAAGTACCGTCATGTGCCGTCATGTCCTTCGATCTCGTGTTGACTCACGTGATTTGAGTTGCCATGTAGGGCGAAGCTCAGTCCAAGCGGTTGACCACGGAGCTGACATGAGATGAGATCTTGTATGGCGAATCTGTTGTAGAACAGAAGGTGGAAGTATGATGGAAAGAGTATGGGGGTAAAGCGAATGTCGAATCAAAGGATAGCGTAAGGAAATAGAAAGCTCAAGAGAGGATCCCCTCCAAAGGTTTGGTTGATGAAGGTAAAGAGAAGGAGGAGACGCATGCAGAGGCAGGTGAGGAAGCTGCCATTATATCACATTGGCCTGAACCCAGGACAACGCAACGTATAGTAAGCCTCCGAAGGGTTCCGCGATAGTTGATGCAGAGGAATTGCCTCTTCCTGGACTGTGTCCAATAGACTCTCGGGCTTCAAGACAACTTCATGACGGTTCCTTCTCTTCGGCCAAGACATCCGTGGACACCCAAGTCAAGGGTTAAGAATCAAGCTGCTTGTTTGAGATCAGAGACATCACAGCCTTCCGAGGTATGTTGTCCATTTGCCCCCCCCCCCCCCCCCCACGCCAGGTGCCGACTTTCCTTACAACAGGGCTGGCTATTTCAAGTCAGTCTTGGCGGTAAGCTGTCTGAGTTCTAAGACACGACTCCGCTTTTGTGGCGTGAAAGATCCCCTGTCACTGTCGTGCATGTGCTGCTAACGTTTAGTATGAAAGACGACTTGAAATGGAATGAGCTGATTTGGGCTTCCGTCCATGCAGAGGATTTTGAACCCAGGTTGCACGCTTTCTGGGCCTGGGGGGAATAGGAATGGGCTTCGTAGTTGTTCTCAATCTCGTCCGTCTAGGTTTACGGTAGCTTCGCGCAATGTAAAAAGTGTTTTGTCCTCACGGCACTGGCCGTTGTAGCGTTCATGCATATATATTCTCGACAAGCCAAGTATTCAGGTGGAAGATTATTAGATTTGGGCCAAATGTGTCTTGGTTATCGTCTGCGAGTTTTTCCCGCATGGCGTATTCAACCACGCAGTCCCACCACAGACTTTAGCTTCATCACTTCTTACTTTCGGTCGCATCATCGGCAATACCGATCACAGCGCATCAATAACAGATTCATAGTCTAATTTGCTCTACTAGTTTCTGCCACCGTTCCACTACTAGAAACGGAATGGTAATATGAAAGACACAGAATACAAGTGGAAGGAAATTGCAAAGCCGAAAATAGAAAGTAAAAAGACATCCATCCGCAATCATCACAGCTCTTGTGTTCCATTTCCATCAAGTGGCCTTCTCGTAGGCTCTCGGCGTCAATATCACCGTAGTTCTCGGTTGCTTCCATCTCGTTCTGCACCAACAGCCATCAAATGTATCATTTACTCGGTGCTCCTCACCTCTCAGATGATAAAAACGTCCACTTTGCCGGATTCCATGCTGATAGTTTGTTCCGTAGATTACTATAGACCAATGAGTAGAAGTATTCCGATGCTGAACCATGTGGCTTGACTTATGCCTTTTTGAATTATCCATTTTTTCTGGGGTATTTGCTTGCTTCGTGTCAGGGTAGAATGAATCCCCACAGTCCTGTTGCCTGTCTTCGAGCATAGGGTGACAGTATCCATACCGATTTGATTGTGCGTCCTCAGTCCTGCGACATTCTGGCCGTCGCCAAATCGAATGAGGCTGATATTTCCGAATCGCTCAGTGCATCGTTTGCGTCTAGATCATCGTTACTAATATCGCCGGCACGCAGAGCGCATTGGTCGTGAAGGGCACTTGTCAACTACCAGCAGTTCCTATACCTTACTGAAGTCACAAGGGGGAAATGAGTCTTCTAGTACAAGCTTCACAATTTGTCATGCGTTCCTACAGTACTGCACCAGTCGATAAAACCAGCTTACCACGTGTGTTGTAAAGTTGTAGTTCATATGGCTTCAGGAATCAGTCACTGCATTGGATCCAATTTAAGTGGTCGGAACCCAGTACCTCCTGTCAAAAGAGGTCAAAGATGTTGCTGCGATCTCATTTGAAAACCAATATTCATCGATTTTGTGTCCTCTCACACTTTCTGATATGATCAAACAGAATCCGGACTGAAGCAGTTGGATTCAAGGCCTTTTTGACAAACCCGCTCAGCATTTTGAGTCTTTGGCCGGCTCCTCAGTTTTACCTTCGGCGCCCAGGTAACTTTGACTGTGGACAAGAACTTTCTTAGCAGTTTTTAGTGACGTTCTAGGGGTAGTTCTTGTTTAAGGTGTGCAATAAGCTCAGGAACTACAAGCACCCACGGACCTTGGTGCGGAGATCTTGAAACGCATCCTTGAAACATCGAGGCCGCCGCACCAAGAGGCTCCCGACTGCCTCCGACAGTTTCCTCAAGTAACGTCAGTTTCTTTCTCATTTCATCTCTTCTCAATCAATCTCATCGGTACTCATCATGAAGTCGTTTCTGCTGCTCGCCTCATGGGCATTCTGTGCAATCGCACAGAAGCACCACCTCAAAACCCAAGTCCCAATCGCCGACCTCTGTGCGGCAAGCCCGCTGTTCCCCGACTACTCGCTGGCATGTGGGAAGACCTCAATCTGGGAGGCGCAAGCACCTCCCCTCGTCGGAATCGCCAACAACCGGACGACTAAGCAGCCCAAGAAGGACATCTGGCGTTCGGACGAAGGGTGGCATGGTCCTCACTCTTGCGCGGGTGCTTACTGCGCGTATTCGCGGCCGTCCTTTTCCAATGGTCGTGGAATCGTCCTCGTGAGCACAGCGTACAATGCCGAAGAGGCATCGCACATATCGGCTTTCACGAAGCCAGCGCGAGATGAGGAGCAGGGTGACAGTACTCTGTTTCGCATCGTTGAGATGCCGGGGAAGGGGCTGGGGGTCGTCGCAAATCAGCACATCAAGAGAGGACAGCGCATCATGGCTCATCCGCCAGCCGTCGTTATCCATCGGCGGTTCATTGACGATGTTGACTTGGACAACCAGTACAGACTTCTTGATGTTGCCGTGAGCCACCTGCCTGAAGACACCCGCAAGATCTTTTTGGAGCAGATGGGGCAATCTGGCGGGCACAAAGTTCACGATATCATTCACACCAACTCGTTTGAACTGAGGCTCGGTATCAGAGATGGTCATCACTTCGGAAACTACCCTGAAGTTTCTCGATACAATCACGACTGCAGACCGAAGTAAGTAATGCCAAAAAATTGACATAACTATCGTTATCTGACAAGAATAGTGTCGCCTTTTACATCGATTCGGATCTTCGGCACTACACCCATGCCGTGAGAGACATCAAGCCCGGCGAAGAGCTCACAATCTCTTACGTGGACTCGCTCAGCTCACGACAAGTCCGTCAAGACCGTGCGAAGCGCAACTGGGGCTTCGGCTGCACCTGCAACCAATGCAGCCTCCCGCCGCCTTTGGTCCGCGATTCTGACAACCGTCTGTACCGCATGTGGCAGATTGAGCAGGACCTTAGCAATTGGAACTTTCCCAACTTCGAGGAGGACATAATCGAGCTGCTCATCACCCTCTACGAGCAAGAGCGTCTAGATGAGTCCCACGGCTACGAAGCTTACAGGCTCGCTGGGTTGAACTACAACTCGATTAAGAACAAAGAGAAGGCTGCGGAGTATGCTAAGAAGGCCGTTGAGCAGTTGCTGCTGGAGAAAGGACCAGAGGCGAAGGAGCTTGCCGATATGAGAGCGCTGGCACACAGGCCTGACCAACACTGGAGTTGGGGAAAGAGAAAATAGGCGAGTAAAAATCTTGTATTAGCGATTGATAGTTCAATGTGAAGTTGCAGCCAATGAGTTAGTCTGATTTTCCAATTTCTTGTTAAGAACCAACAACCAACAACCAACCAAGCGCCAAATCCCGGACTATCAGAAGGAAGAAAGATGGAAATTGCTCGGTCACACATTTGCTAAACCCCTTTGCCGCTCTGAAGCTAGTACCCACATGTTACTATGTGCGAATATGCCGGCATAGTTGGACTCCTTCCATGGTGTGTCCGGCTTTGCAAGACACCAGTCGAAATTCCGGATTAACTGCAGAAGCATTAGCTAGTAGCACAAAGGTTTTGCATGGAACACTCCTCTTACCTCAAAGACAGTTTTCCCGATCTCCATCATCGCAATTGGCCTACCGAGACACTGGTACTTCCCGTATCCAAACACAAGCTCATGGACTTTGTTCATGGTCGCCAGTTTGCTTTCGTTCGTCTCTAGCAACCAACGCTCCGGCCGAAACTCTTCAGCATCCTCCCCGAAGATTTCCTTGCTGAGATGCAGAGGCCACACCGCATAGTTTACGTTCGTTCCACCGGGAAGAAACACGGCTCTTCCATCAATGATGACTGTATCACCCTCATCAGGCACCCTCTTCGGCACTGAATCAGTGACAGGTGGATGGACGCGCATGCCCTCTTTGATGACAGCCTGCAGATATTCTAGCTTCCTGGCGCTTGCGTCCGAGATGATACCCGAAGCCTCATGCACATGCTTGCTCGCATAGAACGCATCAACTTCAGCTTGGAGCTTAGAGTAGACGCGAGGATGGGTAAGGAGGTATAACATCACCACCCGCAGCGACGCAGCAGTTGTGTCCGAACCAGCAATCATCTGCAGCGTCGCCTCGGACACAATGTCGTCCTCATCCATTCCGTGCCTGATGAACGAAGCAATCATGTCAGACTTCTTCTCCGTATCGCGGGAGAGGCGCTCTTTGATGATTGCTCTGCCGTTGGCAGTCATTCTGCCATACCCCGAGGGGTCGGTCTCCTTGATACCAATGTAACGCGCGACAAAGGGGTTTTGCAAGACTTTGTACAGACCCAGGGCGATAATGGCAGTGACTGCTGTCAAGCCTTCCTCAGCTGACCTGGCAATGTCGTAGGCATCGGAATCTGAGCTCAAGTCACCAAAGGGAGTGCCGAAGCTAATGTGGCTGATTACGTCGAGCGTCAGATATTGAATCTTTTGAGAAAGGTCCAAAGGTCTTGCTGAAGCCTCTGTTGAGAGGTACTTTGACCGAATGAGATCGAGTAGTTCAGAGACATGGATGTCGACTGAATCTTCCAACGCAAGATTCTCCTTTCCAGAGTACTGATAATCTTGTTAACAGAGTAAAATGATGTTTGCTTTTTCCTGCTTACCCCAGCACCTAGTTTTGCCCTCAGCTGCTTATGTTTCTCTTCATCCATTTCGCTAAAGACATGATCCTTGTCGGGCCGTACGCGACAGGCGCGATAGAACCACTCAGTCCGGGTGTACGGTGAGCGGACAGCGCTCATGTGCAGCAACAGTTCTGGCGACGATGTGACCAGGTCATTGGGTCCGATGCGCACGATGGATCCTTGAAAGTGTCAGCCTCGCGTCACAGGACATATAGCTGTGAGTCCGACGTACCGTACTTCTTGCACACCTCATGATACTTCAAATGCGACTTGAAGCTCAGAATAGCAAAAACATGCCAGATTTCAGACCAACCCGAGATGAAAGGGCCATTGAAAGCCTTGAGTCGGTTGTATGCTCGAATCTTCTTGCCAACGTAGACCGCCAGCAAAACACCTAAGGCCGCCCACCGAAGGTCGTACAAGTGAGAAATGACAGTCATGACTGCAGAATGAGACACATGCAAGCATGCGAAAGACAGAAGCACAACTGCGTCCTGGGACCATGGACCCGGGACACCTCTTCATACTTATCAAACCCTCGCCTATACATGCCCGTTCACATCCTTTCCTGGCTTCCATGAGGGGCTCGCCCCCGGATGGCGTTCTCATCACACACAACGTGGCTTTCCCGCTTGCCCAGTCGGGATCCATCACGCTACCATCGCCCACTCTAGCCGACGCCCTAACGCCCGTTGATACCGCTCAGCACCAGCCTGTCAAGAAATGCCACAAATTGTGACGTGACGATACCGACTGGTCGATGGCTAATATGCTGGTATTACCGAATGCAGCCAAGCGGACGACGGGGGGTCAGCAGCAAGGCAAAGCCCCAGCCAAGCCGGCCAGCACACTGCGACTCCGACGGACGGAATGTCGCATTCCCAATTTTCGAGGTGCCTTAGTCGGGTCGGTACGACGTGCATTGCATTGCAGCGCGCCCAATAGCGCCGCTGGGTTCCAATTAGTGCGAATGGAAACCGCACCGCGACCGTGAACATCCATTGCCGTTGAGGATGGGCTTACGGGGAGCTGGGAGGAGGGGGGGAGGGCTAATGCACCGAATCGGGGTCATCACAGGTATTGCCGCTTCACCGGGAATGGAGCCAAGGTGGGGTGGAGGAGGAGGGGATTTTCGTGTCCAAGTCATGAAATCCTACTGCAGGCGTATGAGGAGGGGGTTTGAGACTCGTCGTAGCTAGTCTTGGCAAGCTGTCGTGATGCTCTCTTCTCGTAGCCTCGTTCCCAGTGAAACCGGTCTAGATGACCCTCTCCGAATGCGAGGTGTTGTACTGGGTTTTTGCAATGAGAGGCGGAGCCCGTTTGGGTATGGGTCTCTCAATCCTTCACCGTAGATCATCAGAAATTCTGCCCGAATGCCAGAGCGAAGGCTGTTTCACTCATTCTCCTATCGCCGACTCACCGGATGCACGCACAGTCAGGGGTCAAACTCTAGCTTTGCATAAGCTTAAGACATCACCGACTAGTTGGAGCCAGGTTGTGCAGCAAATCACTGATTCCAGAAAGTCCTTCTGACGTGTGGTGCATTAGGTTCATTCTATTTTTCAAATTGTAATCTTGTAATCATCTGTCATAACATCCTGTACCCTGTCATACACGACTGTGGTGCCTTGAAACGCCAACGACTCCAAATTTCCATCAAGTGAATTATTTACTCCTGGGCGGAGTTGAGAATATTGGCACCAGCCTTCTTCTTCCTGCGGCGATCCCTGCGGCCAGCGGGGGGAGTGACTTGAGGAGGAGGGCTGTTGGGGGCCGGGACAACGGCGACGGGCACAGCCGGGGCCGGGGCCGGAGCCGGAGCGGCGGCTGGGGGTGCTGGTGCCGGAGCAGCGGCGGGAGGAGGAGAAGCAGGAGCTCCAGCAGCAGGCTCAGGTTGAGTAGGGTTCGCAGCCTCAGGCCAGCCAGCAGCAGGTTGCTCCGCGGATGGCTGGGCATTAGGATCGGCGGGCACAGCAGCAGCAGGTGGTGCAGCAGGTGCAGCAGCTGGGGGAGCAGCAGCTGGTGGAGCGGCAGCAGGCGGGGCAGGTGCTGCGGCAGGAGGAGCAGGAGCAGCAGGCGCCGGAGCAGCAGCCGGGGGTGCACCAGCAGCTGGGGCCGCGGGAACAACAATGCCTGGCGCAGGGGCAGGAGCGGGGGCCGGGGCAGCAGCTGGGATGACAGTGACAGGAACTGCCTGGACAGCGGGCTGGGAGTAGGCTGCGATACCCTGATCGAGGACGTTCTCAAGCTGAGCTCTGTCCTCCTCGGCGATTCTCTGTCCAACTCTGGGGACCTTCTCTTCAAGCGCGGCAGTGAGAGCCATGGTGGAAATCTTCTGCCTTTGGAGAGAATCCAAGGCAACACCGCTCACGCCCAGGTTGTCAAGAACAGGCTTCCTTGAGACGAGATCAGAGACCGTGGTGGTCGTCTGATCGAGGAGACCATCGGTGATGCGGCGAAGTCTGGCAGCTCTGATGGCCCCAAGGCTTCCGGATTGCTGGATCTGAAGAGTGGCCTGGTTGGTGGTGGCCTCAGCCTGCTGAGAGAAGACGAGGAGGTTGTTGGCAGTGACCGGACCGCCATCAAGAGCAAGGACGGCGGCGTCAACCTGGGCAAGTGACTGAGAGACCGGAGCAAGAGCAGCCTCGATGTCGTCGAGGTTGTCGCGAGCCTTGATAGAGTTAACCGGCGCAGTGGCGATGATCGCCGACTGGCTGAGGAGGGCAATGACCAGAGGAAGGGTAAACATTGTGAAGAAGGTTGGATGGCAGACAAAGGGTCTTGAGAGTTTGTGGAGATATAGCGTAGCTTTGGAGGCAACCAAGCTTCTTGACTTTGCTTTCTTTGTCTGATGCTCCAAAAGAAAAGGTTCTGTCGTCGGGAGATCGAATGGGTTTATAACCTTCGTTCGGGCTGTCTGTGATGATGAGGAGCTTGGATCATGATTAGGACCATGATAGAGTAGGTGCAATGTCGTTAGCTCCTGTCAGACTCGGCAGACGCAGACCGTGAGACACTTCCGTGAACTGAATCTGGTGAGGACCCGTGGTCTACAGCTGGTGATCGATGTAGACTGCAGTTGAGCCTGGCCTGGACCTTCGCAACTCTGCGTCCCCGACGCTGTTGTCGACTGTCGGGCGGGCTGTCAGAGTCCGTGTTTGACGTCCGTGTCTCTCGGCCGGGAGGTACTCGAAGGTGTCTACACCCATTCTTGACAGCGGAACAGTACAAAAGTACTCAACGGCTGTCCGCCGGCTTCCGAAAAGGGAACAGACTTCTGTATCCGGGGGAAGGTCTTGATCTGTGCGAGCAGCTCCCCGCAGGAAGGGTAGGCAAGCTGCCGATGCATCAGGGATGCGGCCCTAGCAAACCTCGTGCGGTGAGGGCCGCAGGTAGGCATGAAACCAGATCCTGTCTCTTCCTAGAGGCAGACAACAGGGTCGGCAGCAGGCGACAGGTCGGGGAGTTTCCCAAGAGGCCATCCCAGGGCAAGCTGTCATACGCCAAATCATGGGATGAACGTCGAGCTTAGTCCAATGAGGGACTAGACTGTGCGTCCGGGGACGCAAGATGGAAGCACGAGCGCGTTTCGACGGTGTAAAGTGATTGTGAGGGGATTTTGAGTGACATGGTCTCAGTGTATGCAGTCAAGAGCTCGGGCACAGCTGCGCCTCCTAAGGCACCAGCAAGCAGCGACAGTAGTCGATATGCTCGTCAACCCTATTTCGCGGACAGCTGCAGTGCGTCGACGCCAGTCCGATGTTTTGGTGCTCGCGGCACGTCCCCGCAGACTGCCATCGACGAAGCCCTATTGGATATCAGCCTCGTGGAAACAGGTTGTGATAAGGTGTCCGGCTGCGCAGCCCGAGAGGTTCATAGCTTGTTGCCATCGCCAAGGACATAGCTCCCCGACCCTTGTGATCATAGCTTTGTCAGGTTGACAGCATGTAAGTCAGCCAGGGCCATCTCAGGAATATCGGATCGTTGCAGTTGCCTTTACAGACAAGACATGGAAGATCTGGCCGGCCTCATCCACCATGAACTTTGGTCAAGAGACTTTGCGATAGTTCTTCCCATGTTGATGATGGATGCAACAAGCCTTTTGACGTTGCCGAACCATAACCTTGAGGTTATTTGCAGCATCCATCTATAAGCGCCATCTATAAGCGTGATGTTTCCCTTTCGCCTCCTGCATGAATTACAAATGGCTAGATCTGCAGAAACGCTGCCAAAATGGCATTCGGTATGCACCTGCACGAAAGACGCAAGAGGACCAGCGTGCAGAGCTCACTGCATAGCGCCATCGATACTGAGCTTCCTAAATGGGCACCGAGAAGCCCACCAGGAACATCTCACGCGGGCACCTGGAGGACGGTGATGAGTCAGACCGAATGGCTTCCGTCGCCTGTGGAATCCATGGATCGGGGGCCCACCGGTGTCACCAGGCCGGCGTCCCCGCTTCTCTAGGCAGCGTACTACCATGACCGAACAAGTCAGTACTTGAAGGCTCCGTATCCGCGACTGGAGTAGAAACCGAGACTTCGACCCGAACACGACCTGGGACAAAGCAGACGTTGGAGAAGTTCGCCGTTGCAAGCATGCCAATCGACGTCCAGCCCATCGTGGCAGCCGATCTCCGGCGCTGCGCCGAAATCGAGCACGACGCGTTCGCAGAAAGCCCATCCTATCCTGTGCTGTTTCCCGGGCCCTTGCCAGACGATCCCTTGGCCCTCCGAGTCGAGGGCCTGGAGAAGGAGCTTCGGGAGGATCCGACCGTGCGCATCCTCAAGGCTGTGGACACAGAGCTTCAAGGCGACGAGGCGATTGTGGCATGGGCCAAGTTCAACAGTTATCCGGAGGGACTGCCGGTGCCCAAGCCACGTGTACCACCGCCAGGATCCAACGCTGAGGCGTGCACAGCATTGTTTGTTGGCATAGACAAGATGCGGGAGCGTTTGATGACAGGCAAGCCGTGTGTCTGTAAGTGGCCACTACTCCACCCGTCAGACTGGCTGTCAGACTGGCGCAACAACGACTGACGACTAATGCGGGACGAAGACTTGCATATCCTGGTGACAGATCCAAAGCACCAGAGACGGGGTGCTGGGCTGCAGTTGATGACCCCGCTGATGCAGGAAGCAGTCAGGCTGGGCGTGCCCGCGTACCTGGAGTCCTCTGTGCCTGGGCATCGGCTTTACCAAAAGGCAGGGTTCCGTGATATCGATGAGCACCGGGTGGACTTTAGCAAGTTTGGGCAAGAAACGCCTCATCTAAACTGGGCGATGATCTGGGAGCTGCCGAACCGGAGGTGCCCATGAGGTCTCAAGAAGGCCATGATCTCGTCGGGGAGCGTCAAGTCGCCTGGGGCGTGTCTCGTAGGGCGCGTCGTATCACGGCGGTCTCCCAAATGGCCGAAGAGGGGTTTATCGCCGATGACCTCATGGACCGGCGATAGATGTGAGCTGCTTTGAACGGTCGAACGTTGGATTTGAACGGGAAGAAACACATCCGTAGTTGATCTCAAGAAGAGAAAGAGCTGTCAGTCCAATCGCTCCTCCCCGATGTGCAGGGACCCTCGTACTGTGCGCCATGTCTTCCTTTCCACACCGTTTCTTTGCAAACTAAACCTCGCAGTCGGACAGTGCGACAGATTCTGCAGATAAGCAGTGTCCAAGTGTCCGGCCAAGTCGGGGGCCCGGCGCGTCCAGTGGCCAATGCGTAAGGCGCGTTGTTGGATGTGCACTGTGACCCTTGCCCGGCAGCTCTCCGCAGTGAGGTGGGCGGCGGCGGGTGCGGCAGTGGCCTGCACTTCAGTGATCTCGCTGCTGGAGGCAGGTCGTGGCCCCACCTTTGTCACTGAATTGATGATGAAATCGACCTCAGCGGGCTGCAGCAAGTGGCCCGGACGTTCTTGCTAAACTCCGACGCAGCAGCACCGACCTCACCAAATCGCCCATCTCGACATTCTCCATGGGCCGCAACTCTGGGATAGAGCTCCCACTTCACAAAGCTCACAGACCGCCGCAATGTCTTACGTAGCACCCATTCATCGGCCCAGCAGCATACGCCATGCATTGAGACTGCGGCTGACAGAAGACGAGGAAAGCTTGGTGGTATCGTAAGTCTGCCCTCCTCTGCCTTTGCCTGTGCCCCTCCATCTGCGGGACAACCTCGAGATAGCTATCGCGACAGTCGCTGTCTCTGCCCTCCACATGCTAACCTTCTCCAAGGAGATCCAACAGGCTGGAAGTATGGCGCGTCACGCCCACCGACATGTTCATGCTGGGCTCCGTCTCCATTTACGGGACAGTCCTCCTCCTTCAACGCCTCACTCCGAAAGACTCCAAGACCGACTTGTTGTTCGTCGGCACCGACCGATTCCAATACTTCACGGCAAGATGGGACTCTGATCTTCAGAGACTCGTCACTGAGCAGGTCATTGAGGACAGTGGAGAACCGCACATGCGCGAGGCCCAGAGTCAGGACAAGTGCTTGGTCGACCCCTCTGGCAGGTTCATGGCCATGCACCTATGGGAGGGTGTCATGAACGTCATGCGTCTAGGAGCTCGGGCTCCTCATGCTTCCCGTCTAGACCCTCTGTGGGAGCAAGTCCGTTTGTCGGAGCTCTCCATGAAGGCCAGCACCTTCGTGCCCACTGAGACCGGCCACCCCACCATTGCTTTCTTGTACCAGAGTAAGATCGACAAGGAGGATGCGAGGTTGGCAATTTATCGCCTCATGAGCGATGACAGAAATACCAAGACTTCAAATTTCGATGCCGAAAAGGACAGAGAGCTCGACATGGAAATACTGGACCCTTACGCCAGGATACTCATTCCCGTCAGTGTCGAGGAGGACCAGGTCAAGCGCTACCACAAGAGGGACACATCAGCGGCGAAGGCGCAGCTTGGCGGCCTGATTGTTGTCGGAGAGACTCTTCTTGTCTATGTCGACACTCTCACAAAAACAAAGGTGTCTGCTGGCATAGACAACCCGACTATTTTCGTTGCCTACGCCGAGTACGATGTCAGGAACTATTTCCTTTCCGACGACTATGGCAACTTACAACTTCTCACCATTGACACCGACGGCGTCGTGGTCACGGGGCTGAGAGTCACACATCTTGGTCTTACATCTCGGGCATCTTGCCTCGTCTACATGGGTGACGGCATGCTCTTCTTGGGGTCCCATTACGGCGACTCGCAACTGCTCAAAGTCGACGTCACTGCCGGCTTCGAAACAACACAAATTGTCCAAACAATACCCAATATTGCACCTATTCTTGACTTCGCCATAATGGACCTGGGTAATGCTGGTGACAGCCAAGTCGGCAATGCTTTTTCGTCAGGCCAAGCCCGTATCGTTGCGGGCTGTGGTGTTCATCAGAACGGCAGTTTGCGGAGCATCAGGAGCAGTGTCGGTCTTGAGGATATTGGCGTTCTAGAGGATTTGAGTGACGTTCGTGGACTCTTCTCTCTTCGGTCTAACGGCTCGGACAAAGATGATACCCTGGTTGTCTCTTTCATCACCGACACAAGAGTCTTCAGGTTCGATGCAGAGGAGGGCATCGAGGAGGTCTTTCAATTCCAAGGTCTTGAACTAGACAAACCTACACTAATCGCGTCAACCCTGCCGAATGGTCAATTGCTTCAAGTCACAGCTAACAGCGCTGCGCTACTTGACCCTGAAGGTGGCATCACGCTAAGCACGTGGTCAGCCCCAGAAGGCAAAGTCATTGTCAATGCATCATCCAATGCCAAATGGGTTCTGCTTTCCATCGATGGAACCACACTGGTCTCGTTGAGCCTCTTGGAGAATCTTGCAGCTCGGGAGCAAGTGCTGGGAAGTGGAGTAGGCGGAGAAGGCGACCAGATCTCGTGTATTCATGCCGCAACTGACTTGGATAATATCGGTGTCGTGGGTTTCTGGGCCACAGGCTCCATATCCATCATTGACCTGCAAACGCTTGATGCTTTGCACGGTGAAACCATCAAGCAGACCGACGACAGCGTTTCAGTACCCCGGAACATTGCTCTAGTACAGCTGCATCCGCCACATCTATTGGGCCCTACTCTCTTCGTCTCGTTGGAAGACGGGCAGGTGGTGTCCTTCGATGTTTCGAAAGACAACTACTCGTTGTCCGGCAGGAAAAGTGTCATTCTTGGCAGCAAACAAGCAGGCCTTCATATCCTTCCGCGGCCTGACAGCGATGGTATTAGCAACGTCTTCGCTACCACAGAGCACTCAAGCCTCATCTACAGCTCAGAGGGGCGCATAATTTACTCAGCGGCGACGGCGGAGGACGTCACCTACATTGCACCATTCGACTCGGACGCGTTTCCTGATGCTATTGTTCTCGCCACTGATAAGAATGTTCGCATTGCGCATATTGATGTCGAAAGGCGAACACACGTGAATCCACTTCCCCTGCGCCAGACGGTACGCAGAGTAGCCTACTCACCGGCGTTGAAGGCTTTCGGTATCGGCACCATTCGGAGAGAACTGTTCAACAACGAGGAGATGGTCACGAGTTCCTTCCAATTAGTTGACGAGATTGTCCTCGGCGTAGTCGGAAAGCCCTTCCATCTTGATGGCGCCGCTACAACGGAATTAGTTGAAAGCGTTATCAGAGCCGAGCTTCCGGACAGCTCTGGTCAATCTGCGGAGAGATTTATCGTGGGGACTAGCTATCTCGCTGATCCAGAGATGGATGAGAATAGTGAGGTTAAAGGACGTATCTTAGTCCTCGGGGTCGACTCTGATAAGAACCCGTACCAAATCGTTAGCCACGAGCTGAAGGGTGCATGCCGAAGTCTTGCTGTGATGGGCGACAAGCTTGTCGCTGGCCTCAGCAAAACCGTGGTGGTGTACGATTACGCCGAGGAGTCCTCAACATCAGGATCGCTCCTCAAACTGGCTACTTTCCGACCATCCACGTTTCCTGTCGATCTCGATGTCAACGGCAACATGATTGGCGTCGCCGATTTGATGCAGTCAATGACACTGATCGAGTTTATTCCGGCCCAGGACGGTAACAAAGCACGACTCGTCGAGCGGGCCCGCCATTTCCAGTACATCTGGGCTACCGCGGTTTGCCATTTAGAGCAAGACTTATGGATTGAGGCAGATGCACAGGGCAACCTCATGGTGTTGCGCAGAAACCCCAATGCACCAACAGAACACGACAAGAAGCAGATGGAAGTCATCAGTGAATTCCACCTCGGCGAGCAGATTAACAAGATTCGGCCACTTGACGTCGTCTCCGGCGAGAACGACCCGATTGAACCGAAGGCCTTCCTCGCAACGGTATGCATCTGCGATCAGATTCCGACATAGCTATAGCTGCTAACGTCATCTTAGGTTGAGGGATCAATATACGTCTTTGCAGACATCAAGCCCGAATACCAGAGTCTGCTACTGCAATTCCAGGAAAGGCTTGCAGGGGTGATTAAGACCCTTGGCCAAGCAGATGAGCCTGGAGCTGGACTTTCATTCATGTCGTGGCGAGGTTTCCGGAATGCCAAGCGGTCCGCGGATGGACCTTTCCGCTTCGTCGACGGCGAGCTTATTGAGCGATTCCTGGACCTGGACGCGGGGAGACAAGAAGCTGTAGTCCAGGGGCTGGGTCCGACAGTTGAGCGCATGAGAGACTTGGTAGAGGAGCTGAAGCGTATGCACTAATGTGTAGTATGCATATGTACAATAGTAGATGCAGGATATCGGGACGACGTCAAGGACTAAGGCCGTCACACCAGGTGACGCTGAATAAGATGAAATACAGACATATTGAATCCAACAGACGACCAAACCGTATGACAGAAGCAGCGATCTCAATTGGCATCCAATCGTTGTCCCAGTGGAGACGGTTGAAGGGAGCATTCACGGTCAAAATTTGTCCAACTTGGCAGTCGGCTAATGGGGGCATTGCAACTATCCAGCATAATTCGATCACCACTCGTGCCACCCGGAAAGGGCCGGGACTCTGGTGCCCCCACCAGCCAATCATCAAGCACCAATTTCACAACGTTCTGCCTCAGGCTGCCAGCCCAGAAAGCTTTCGGCAATCCTCAAACCACAGCATCACGAAAAAAGACGCTCACTTGCCCAAACGTCATCCCTCTCCAATTGCATCTCGCAACAACCACCAACCCTCTCCCCTCCACCCTCCCGAATCTCTCGAGATGGCGCCCCTCGCACACGCTTCCCGCACCTGCCTGCGGCAACTGGCGCGAAGCAGCCCCTCCGCGACGGCTGCGCGCGCCCTCAGCACCTCGGCCGCCCGGAACGACGCCACTGCCACGAGCTACTCGAGCCCCTTCAAGGGCGCCCAGAAGGGCAGCCAAATCCCCGACTTCAGCAAGTACATGAGCAAGGGCTCTGCTCAGGGCAACCACCTCATCTCATACTTCATGGTCGGCACCATGGGCGCCATCACCGCCGCCGGCGCGAAGTCCACCGTCCAGGGTACGACAGCCTTCTTTCCCCACGAGTCACCGGACAAACGAATCGACGATCAAGACGAGGAAATGATTGAGGGAAATGTGTTTTCGGCGAGCATTGGCTGACGGGTGGTTTCAATTGCAGAGTTCCTCGTCAACATGTCCGCCTCCGCCGACGTTTTAGCCATGGCCAAGGTCGAGGTTGACCTGAACGCCATTCCCGAGGGCAAGAACGTGAGTAGCCTGGTGCTAGGTTCCGCAGCAGGGCCAGCGGGAATTGCGACTGACAATCCGGACCGCAGGTTATCATCAAGTGGAGAGGCAAGCCTGTCTTTATCCGCCACCGCACCCAGGCCGAGATCGACGAGGCCAACAAGGTCACCGTTGCCTCTCTCCGTGACCCCCAGGCCGATGACGACCGTGTCAAGCAACCCGAGTGGCTTATCATGTTGGGTACGTGATCCCCGATCTGAACGGATTTTCGCACTTCCTCGGCTTTCGGATATCCGGGGCCATCGAGGCCCGCTGGGACGGGATATCTGGGCCCTCGTGACCTCAGCTAGGATGCGAATCTGTCAAGAAGAGCCGCAAACTAATTTTTCTACCCCACAGGTGTCTGCACGCACTTGGGTTGTGTGCCCATCGGCGAGGCTGGTGACTACGGCGGTTGGTTCTGCCCCTGCCACGGTTCTCACTACGATATCTCCGGCCGTATCAGGAAAGGACCCGCCCCCCTCAACCTCGAGATCCCCGAATACGAGTTCCCCGAGGAGGGCAAGCTGGTCATCGGTTAAGCACCACCTTTGTACGAGTATAAAAAGGATGATGAGAGGGAGAGGAGAGAGAGCCACGCCGCAGCTCGCAGGTCCCCCCTTCGCGGGGGATGCGGTGTGGATAGCAGCAACAACAACCAACTAGAGAACACTTTTTCCTTTTTTTGCATCGGAGACGACCAATGGTGCTTGGGGTTTGGGTTCCAAGAGAGTCAAAGAGAGAGGTTTTTTCTTTTTTCTTAGACGTGTCCCCGGGCAATGATGCCAATGTACAAAAGTCACAGAGCGTCCAGGAACAATGAGTAGCCTCGCAACTTCATAATAGCCATGCCGGGTCAGGTTTGTGATGTGCCGTGTGGGATGTGACTGGCTGACTGACAGTGGACGGGACAGCTGGGTGCATGATGGAAAAGATGACAGGATGACAGGCCCGGGAGTCAATACGATCGACGGCAGTAATCGGATGAGGAAGCTCAAACCCATCCGGAGGGTTCAGTACCACGAAATGATCGCTGACAGCTTCGGTCCAGTCGCCGAGACTTGCACACTGGTTCAGGCTCGCTGAGTAGAGTTGGGGAAAATGATGGTAGTGACAGCCGGCTGCGGAGTCGATCAGACTGAGCCGTCCACATGTGACAGCTCTGCCTGTATGCACCCAGAGTTGGGGAAGTGGCTGAATGGCATGCCGTGGCGCATAATCTGGCTCGGCAGTCAGTGCTTCCTTTCGCTGACTGGCAAGAGATCGTCGACTCCGGGACCCGGCAGGTGACGCGTTGGTGTTTGGGACGGAGATCTCTGGGAATGGGGTCGAGAGAGGGTGCGACGACGGCTTGCAGGCGATGGCACCACGCAGTGTGTTGCCGCCTGGGTTGCTCACGTAAGGGTGGCCGCAATCTTGGACAGATGTCGAGGTCTGGATTTGGAGGAGGAGGAGGAGGAGCCAAACGACTTGTTTTGAGGAGGTCTGGGCGTTGCAGGTGTTGGTGGGCCCCCGGGCGGTAAAGAGGGTCTCGATGTTTTGGGAGCGCGGCTGCGAAAATAGAGTCCCTGTTCGGTACCGTGTTTGGGTTGCGGGGCGCAGGATGTCTATCGTGGATAGAGTCTCTTTACCTTGGCAAGTATTTTCCGCCGTCGGTCTCGGTTGTATCCTGTTTTTGTGGTTGAAGTTTCTGAGTCTCTAAATGTGCGTGTATGGACGATGTTCAGTGTTCATCTCGTGAGATCATCTGAAGTGAAGAACCCGGAAGCCATCATCATCGGCATGAGAGGGGATCGGCGCTTTTCAGATGCATTTGATGAGATGACACTCTGGGCATTGACACATAAACCCTTCCACATAACTTATTACGCAAGCTATTACTGAGATCTCATGCTTTGCCAAACCCAGATGCCAAGGCGATGGCAACTGTCGCGCTGGTGGTGGACAATGCAGAAGTCGAAGTGCTGTGCCATTGTGCGATTGTTGCTGTTGCTGCTGACGAGGATGCGCTTCCCCCAACACCCCTGCCAGCTCCACATGGCCGCACGGATGGAAGCGAGCCAATGATGGATCTCCGAGAGGCGGCTCGGAGTGGATGAGACGCCCTCCCGCGACAGCTGCCGTCTGATTTCCGAGTTCCTCAAACTCTGTTCGACTTCAGTTCCTCTCCGCCAAGAACAGGGGGCGGAGGGACCACATCTTGATTGTTGATCGGGTGAGGCTCCTTTTGCGTCTTCAAGGTGAAGATGACGACCTTGGACTTCACTGGCTGACGAATTTGACGTTAGACTCATCTAGTGATGAGGAAGTTCCTGACAGGGTGCCCACCAAAGGAGCGTCTGCCTAAGATGAATCGAGTCGTGGCTCGAGCGAAATTTGGACGCCGTGTTTGTACGAGTGTATGAGGCGAGAGATATCTCCCTGGTGGTTTCCTCGGAATTTCCGCCCATCCAGTCGGCCAGCAACCGAAACAGGTAGTTTTTCTGCCAGGTCCCAACAGGCGCCCTCCTCCTATCGCCCGCTCTAGCGGACCGGACGAACTCTTGGCTCGCACATGGCCATGTCCTGCATCACCCCTACCGAGTGGATGAGCCGCATCGGAGACTGCCCAGCCGACAGCTATACCCACCCGACAACTCCGGGCCCCAACCGCCAAGCCGCATCACCATCGCGGAGCGACAGGCGAGGACCCAAGATCGACAGAGTCGCTTTCCCAAGCGAGTTGCTCAGGGGCCGCCGTTCACGTTGCGCCGTGTTGGGATGATGAGACGAACAAACCGAGATGCGGGCGGCCGTCTCTGCTTGCTGCTGATGGGTCGTTGTCCGGGTCGTCATGTCCGTATATAAGTCCCCATCTTCTGTTCAGTAGTTGACAGAAGGAAAGTTCTGTTTCCTCATCACGCATACTCTCCTTCTCTTTCGTTCAGTTCTGGGAACTTTGTTTGTATTCTTTACTCTTCCATTCTTTAGATTCTCGTCCTTCTCTCCGAGATCACTAGGCCGGCCCTTCTTTCACCTTGTACTTTACCACATTTCTTTTCCCCGAACGAACATAAGATGAAGTTCCAAAACTCCATCGCCCTCTCGGCCCTCTTCGGCCTCGCCGCTGCCGAGGTGCCCCAGGAGCACTCCCACGAAAAGTACCTCCGCGCCGTCAACGCGCTCCTGAAGCAGGACAACCCCCTGAACATCCAGGACGCCGTCTTCGGCCTGCTGGGCAACGCCGCCGCGGAGGCCGGCGCCGGCGACGTCACCAACCTCGATTGTCTGCACCAGGCCACCGCCGACTCGGCCTTCACCGCCGCCAAGGCGGCCAACGACGTCGACGGCATGGCGAGCGCGCTCGTCTTCCGCGCCGTGGAGCGCAACACGGGCTCCGTCGGCCTGAAGAGCGTGCTGTGCGACGAGACGGCGCAGAACCCCGAGATTGCTGCTCTTACACAGCACCAGGACCCTGCTTCGGAGGGTGCTGCCGCGACGAACAAGGAGATTACGCTGGAGCTGGCGAGGCAGCTTGCTGCTGTTGGGGCTGACCCCATGCTGGCGCTTGACTCGGGCACTTTCGAGCCTGGTGACGTGAGTGTATGCTGCTAGAGTGAACTGGCGACGATGCTGATGAGACTGTAGCCGAACGACAACACTGGTGCGGGCAACACTTGCGACGACGCCGATGATGCTGAGGGATGTATCTTCTCCCAGAACCTCCTCGTCCAAGATGCCACCGCCGAGGAGATCCAGGCTGCCGTTGACGGTGCCGACGGAACGGGTAAGATTCCTTCAGTTCCAGAACCATACCTTCTTACATCGTGACTAATGCCAATACCTTGCAGCCAGCAACTCTACCGCCGTCACCAAACTCAGACTCCGCCGTGCGACTCTCCCGAACCGCCGTGGAAAGAAGAACCAAGACGCCGCTGCCGGCGCCGACGCTTCTGCTAACGCCACCGCCGTTGCTGACAAGGTCCGTCGCGGCAACAAGAACAAGGACGCTGCCGCTGATGCGGGAGCCGCTGCCAATGCTACGGCTGTTGCTGATAAGTTCCGCCGCGGCAACAAGAACAACGCCAACGCCAACGGCAATGCTGCCGCTGCCAACGAGACCGCTGATGCTGTCCAGTCCGCTGGAAACGGCGGCAATGCGAACGCCAATGGTAACCAGAACAACAACGCCAACGGTAACAACCAGAACAACAACGCCGACGATGCTGCTGAAGCTACGGGCAACGGCAACGGCAACGCCAACAACAACCAGAACGGAAACCAGAACAACAACGCAAACAACGGCAATGCCGATGATGCTGCCGATGACGTTGCTGATGACGCCGCTGATGATACTGCCGATGACAACACTGGCAACAACGGCAACCAGAACAACCAGAATGGTAACCAGAACCAGAACGGCAACAACCAGAACAACCAGAACGGCAACCAGAACAACAATGGAAACGCTAACAACGGAAACGCTGGCAACGCCAACAACGGAGGCAATGATGCTGCCACCGGAACCGACGTGCAGACCTTCACCGGCGACCTCGGCGGCCCCCCTCCCCCGGTCACCTCCGACGCCGCCTCTGACAAGCCCTTCTCCGTCAACGGCGCCACCTTCGTCAATGCCGGCGCCGCCCTCCAGCGCTCCTGCGCCGTGCAACACAACGCCTGCGCTGACGCCGCGAACTCCGGCTCCGAGGACATCACCGTTGCCGACTGCGACGCGCAGGAGGACGACTGCCTGGCCGCGGCCTCCCTCAAGAAGCTCCGCCGCTCCTCCAGCGTCGGCTCCGAGGGCCGCAAGATGCGCATCGCCAGCAACGCCATCAAGACCCGCCAGAACCTCGACTTTGGCGAGTGCCAGGACCCCAGCATCGAGTTCGCCGCCGGCCTCGACGGGCGCAAGGAGGCGTCCTTCGGCCCCGCGGGCGACTTTGAGCACGGCTCGGCGCTCAACATCAACATCATCAGCAGCTTCATCTGCGGACAGCTGTCGTCGAGGTGCCAGGCTTCCGACGACGCTGTTGCAGCATGTGAGCAGGGACAGGCTGACGCCCAGGGATTGCAGGGCCAGGCGGCTGCTGATGCCTTTAACACGGCTCTCGGTCTGTAGAGGCTGTTTATGTATGATGACGAGTTTCCTTTGTCGGAGTTTGGACTAGATGTACGATGAGAGGAACTGAGAGGGCCATGTGAATGAAAAGAATTCCATCTCAGATATTTCTGATGAATATGACGATGATTTGCATTGTGCTTTGTATTGAGACTGATTGATTTACCATGGAAATTGAATTTTGTCGATGCTTTTAAAACCGCCGATAATCGACAAAACCACCACCAAAAGGCAAAGTGTAATATCGACTTGGAAATAAAATTCCAATCATGATGAGAAACATGTCTACACACACTTTTTCCAGTCCACCAGGTCGTGGCTTGTTTACATTTGCTTAGCGCTTGCCGCCAATGAAAATCATTTCACCCGCTGTGGGAATCTTCATGCAGCGTTTTCCTGGATCTCATCTCCAACTTCACTCCACATCTCCAAAACCAAACGCTGAATTTTTCACCTTACTCAGTCACCCTTCACATCCACCAAAAAATCGAAAATTACTCCCAGCAAATCTTTAGCTGAGTGATTCTTCGACTTTTTTCTCGCCATGGCTGGATTAGACTACACGGCCCTCGGCGAGCGGGATTTCAGAATCCTCTCGCTCGCGCCCGGAAAATTCGACGAACCCCTCAAGGGTGAGCTTATCGTCCGTCCGATCGACCCTTACATCGACGAGGCCTCCAAGCACGATGGTGAACTACCCGAGTCGGCTGACTCCTACGAGGCTGTTTCTTACGTCTGGGGCTCCAACGACACCCCGCGCAGCATCACCATCTCATCCACCGAGGTGTCCATCACAGAGAACCTCTTCACCTGCCTGAAGCGCGTGCGCCTACAAGACCGCCCGCGCCAGCTCTGGGTCGATGCGCTGTGCACCAACCAGGCCAACGCGGACGAGAAGCAGGCGCAGGTCATGCTCATGCATGACGTCTACGTCAGCGCGCGGCGCACCCTGGCGTACCTCGGCGAGGAGGCCGACGGCAGCAGCGATGCGATGGACTTGATTGAGAGGTACTGGCGCGTCTGCATCCCCAACGAGCTCAACGCCGGCGCCCGCGCGTTTCTGGAGGATTCGCTCGGCAAGCCCGTTCCTGATGCGCCGACCGGCGCGGAGGCGGAGCTGCCGGCTGAGGGCGACAAGCGCTGGCTGGCTGTGTCGCGGTTCTGGAACCGGGCGTGGTTTAAGAGGGTGTGGATCGTCCAGGAGTTCATCCTGGCGAGGGATGTGTTGATGATTTGCGGAGAGAAGACGGTGAACTGGGCGCAGCTTTGGCCTGCTACGATTGCGCTGGAGGAGCCCGAGAGCCCGCCTTGGCCGCTGATTGACGAGAAGGGCGAGGAGGTGGAGAGCGCGGCGGATTTGATGGCCAACATGGCACAGAGACTGCGGTTCTACCAGCTTGGTGCCATGAGGGGAAATGCCCAGGAAGATGGATGCTGTGGCGATGACGATGAGCATGATCATGAGCACGGAGACGGTTGCTGCGGTGGAGATGACGAGCATGAGCACGATCACGACGGACATGACCACGGAAAAGAAGCCGCTGAAGGCAGCGAGGAAGAGTGGGAGTCTGAAGACGAGGACGAGGACCCGAAGCGCTCCACCGAGCTCCTTAGCCTGCTTCTCTCCTTCCGCGAGGTCGAGGCCGCTGACCCGCGCGATTACTACTTCGCCCTCCTCGGCCTGGCCGCTGACGGCGACAGAGAAGAGTTCCGCCCCGATTACTCGGAGAAGTTCGAAGAGACCGCCCTCCGCTTCGGCCGCACCCTGTTCCACGAGCCCTTCAGCGAGGAGCTCCTCGACCACGCCGGCATCGCGGAGCACCTCAACGGCAGGGCCAACAAGTTCCCCTCGTGGCTGCCCGACTTCCGCCGCCCCTGGCACCGCATGACCGTCGCCGACGCCGCCGAGTCCGAGGCCGCGGGCGAGACCGACTTCGACTTCGGCTTCGACCCCAACGACGACGAGGACGTCCTCCTACTCAAGGGCGTCAAGGTCGACACCATCGCCCAGATGAGCGGCGTCCCCCGCGCGGCGCACCTGCACGCCGACCGGCCCTCCATCTGGGTCAAGAAGGACATCCTCACGCTGTCCAAGATCCTCGAGAAGATCCCGGGCTTCGAGAAGGCGACATACTCCACGGGCGAGTCCGGGCTGGAGGCCGTGCTGCGGACGCTGACCTTCTTCCGCGCCGAGGCGGAGGAGGAGGAGGTCCCGATGGCGACGCTGAAGCTGGCGTACCGCTTCTGCACGGCCGTCGAGGAGGACGACCTCGACCCCGAGCGGGCGGAGCGCGACGTGCTGCGCCGCGAGATCGAGCTGGCGGGGCGCTCGGCGGAGGAGGCCAACGAGGCGCTCGTGGCGGCGGCGCAGATCCTCATCAACCGCGTCTTCACGACGCGCTCCGCGCTGGATCTGGTGCTGGCCAAGGGTGAGAAGTACGTTGCTATGGTGCCTGATGGATGTGAGGCTGGTGACGAGGTTTGGGTTATGAAGGGGTGCAACGCGCCGTTTGTGCTGAGGAAGAGCGCTGAGCGGGAGGGGCTGAGACGTATCGTGGGTACGGCGTACGTGCACGGTATCATGGATGGCGAGGCGGTCGAAGAGGGAGTCGAGTTTGAGCCGGTTACGATTCACTAGTTGGGATCATCTCCGGTGTCATGATGGAGAGATGGCGTGGGATCATGATGACATGACACGGACCCAGAGAAGGTCTTTATGCTTAGACGTCTAGATAGAAGATCACGGAAGGAATACAAAAGTTTTGCAATTTAGACTGACACGGCTGCTGTGAGAGGAACCTTGATGGCCTGTGAAGGCACCGCGAGCGTGGGCTCCCGCACCGAGCGGCCGGGACGGCACGGACCTGGAAGTGGGTCTTACCGGTCCGTTAGCGGTTCCATGGCAGCGGGAGTGGCTGGCGATGTAGGCGTCATTGAGCGTCATCGTCTGGTCTGTTAACTTGTTTTAGAGCTATGATGCAGCGCTTTGTTAACACCTGTTGTTGAGTTCAAAAATGGCCAGTTCGTCTCTTGTGAAGATGACGCGAAGTTTCAAGCAACAGCAAGCTCGGTCTCAATTGTTATTTTTGACCCATCGAATCACCAACCGCACAAGCAACTTTTCAACGTACACTGCCAACAGGATGCCTTCGTCAAAAGGAAAGCCCACTGATCCTGAGCTGAGGGAGGAGATCAAGGAAGGTGAGAGTGATGAGGAGCCACGGCATTTGAGAGCACTAAACTGACATTTTGATTATAGAAATTAAGCAGGAGCCTAACAAGTCTGGCGGCGGCGAGGGACAATGGTCAGCATGGAAGGTCAGTCTGCAAGTCGTAATATGAACATGGGCTAAGGACTAACAATTACCCAGGCATCCAAGCTTGCCAAAGAGTATGAGAAGCAGGGTGGTGATTATGAGAATGAGGCCGGCTCCAAAAATGAGCCAAAGAAGGGAGAGCCGGAAAAGAAGAGCGAGTCCAAGAAGAAGAAGGAGACTGAAGATTAGGGCGTCAGTCGTCATAATGTGCATCAAAGGGCGTAGCTTCACAGAATAATAAATATTGCATCAAGGTCAACACCTCGCACTTTGTCCAATAATCGGAGGAACTTTTGATACGAGATGTCGACTGTGCCGCATTTCCGTCACCCATGCAAGGCCGGAGTACATTAAATCCCACCCCTCGTTCTCACCTTCTTCGCGGCAGCTCCCTGTCTACTTCATACCTTGAACATGCAAGGCATCACAGAGGAGGACCCCTCAGAAGATATACAGCCAGACGAGGATGATTGCTGGACGCCTCTCCAAAAGGCCTCCCGCGACGGGGACCTCACCGCGGTACAGACAGCCCTTGCAGCCGGCGCCGACATCAACGCCCCGCCGCAAGGGTACTACGGCCGCACCGCGCTCCAGGCGGCCTGCTTGGGATCGCACGCCGATGTGGTATCGGCGCTCCTGGCCGCCGGTGCGGACGTCGACGCTGCCCCCGGCAATAACGACGCGCGCAACGCACTGCAGATTGCGAGCGGGCAGCCGGACATTTCCATCGTCAGAATGCTCCTCGACAAGGGGGCCGACGTGAACGCGCCGGCGACGAGGTACTGCGGCGCGACAGCGCTGCAGTCTGCGTGCTCCGCGGGACTGGGTGACGTGGTTGTGCTGCTGCTGGATCACGGGGCGGACGTGAACGCGGCGCCGGCCAAGACGGCGGGACGGACGGCGCTGCAGGCCGCCGCGGCGCACGGGTTTGCGGGTATAGTTAGGACACTACTGATGGATCACGGGGCGGATGTGAACGCGCCGGCGTGCCGGCATAAGGGCTTCACGGCGCTGCAGGTGGCGGCGTTTCACGGAGACGAGGGGATGGTCGCGACGCTGCTGGGCGCCGGGGCGGATGTGAATGCCGAGGGGAGCAGGTTCAAGGGCGGGAGGGCTCTGCATGCGGCGGCAGAGGGGGGTCGCGTTCGCGTGTGCGAGATGTTGCTGGATGCCGGGGCCGAGATCGACGCTGGATCTGGCGGATGGGCTGGTGTTGGTGGTGGTGGTGGTGGTGGGCAGACGGCGTTGCAGGGCGCGGCTGCGAGGGGTCACGGTGCGGTTGTTGGGGTTTTGCGGGACAGGGGTGCTACGGGAATGGAAGGTGGAGGGACGTTTCTGTTTGATAGAGTTTGATTTCCTGGTGACATGCAGCAGATAAGGTGGGATTCTGGCCATGGAAGAACTAGCGGTGGCTGGTTCACTTGGAGTTGATAACGCAGTTGCATAGCGGAAAAGAAGGGGTAGTCGACACATCTTCCACGGACAGAGAGAGACACGCACAATCTTAGCTAACCAACTAGTCCGTTACCTGGAAGGATGCCGGACCCTTACTGCGGGCGGCGCATGAACACCATCGACAACACCACCACCCGCAGAGCCAACAGCCAAGACAAGATCACACAGGCGCCCCGACGTTTACGTCTCGTCCGGAAGTTCAGCCAAGTCAGCCGACTAACGCAGACCAGGGCATCCCTCGCTCCAGCCCGGTCACGAACCGTGTCTCCCACTCTTACTCTACCAGGTCTACAAAGATACAAAGATACAAAAGTACTTGCAGTGACAGTGACTAGACGTACGAGGCAGCTGTGTGTGAGGGAGGCTCCACCCCGCTGCGCCCGCGTCAAACCGGCCCCGCGGCGCCCCGCCTATCATCGGCTTCCGCCGGCTCGGGTGTGGTCCCGCGGCGCACCGCCCGGCGTGACCTGCCTCATTGCGAGTGCGTTCCCTTGCTCAGTTGCTCCCTACGCTCCCTTCCGCACCGTAGCGGCAGGCAGGATAAGATAGAGGGGGACCCAGTTGCCAAATAATTACCTAAAAAAACAGGCCTAGAGTTCCAAGGCACTGCACTCTTCGAAACAGGCAAGCAACATGGGACCTTCAGATGAAGAAAAGTACCTTGCCTACTGCACCTACACAACACACGCAATACACATACTGTATGTATGTACCACAACCAAACAGTATCACTTCTCGAAGCCAGACTTCCTTACTTCACCGCTAGCCTCGTCCCGTGACGTAAGACGAGCACCCGCTTGGCTTGCCTTCATCACGTTCGTGTGGGCCTGCTGACCTTGACCCTTCCTCCAGGCTGGTGAGACGGGCGTGTTAGTGTACCTTTACCATACTCGTCTCTCCCGAATCCACGTTTCTTTGTGTCTCGAATCCGAGCTGGCGCTGCGCTGGGCCCTGCGATGTCCCTCCTCCTCCTCCCAAAACGTGCTACATTGCGCCGTCCCGTATCGCTGGGGCCGCCTCCACCCCGTGGTCCCTCCCTTGCAAGGCCGCCTGGACCTTATGCCAGGTAGAGGCTTGAATTGGGCCTGTCTCAATCCTGGGGTTTCGCTGGGTCTTCCCCGCCATCGCCGCGATCGTCTTTGGTGGGGCACCTCTCCCCGAAAGAAAGGTCCCCAAATGTCTTGATAAGGACTGTGCTTTGTCCTTCCCACCCACCTCTGGTGCCTCTACGATGCCGTGACTCTGTCTCTCCCACATTCCAACTCTCCCGTCAAAGCAGCTGACCAACAGCGGGACCCAATTGGCAAGAAACAGCAATACCAAACTCAGCAGACCCCGCGCAGAAAGATAGGCACCATGGGCTCGACGCAGGAGGCCGACCTCATCCTCACCACGCCCACGCACGCCGAGAGGCTCCGCGTCTGGACCTCGACGCACCAGAAATGGGGCGCCGCCCTCGAGCTGGACGAGTACCTCCGCCGCGAGGAGTACCTCACCACCGTGCCCATGAGCCGCAACGGCGGCATCACCCAGTGGATCCTGACCGACCCCTCGCTGCCGCCCGACGCCCGCCCCATCCTCTCCTCGTGCGAGAGCATCCGCAAGCGCGCCCTCGCCGCGAAGCCCGACGGCTCCGTCGCCGAGGCCGTCGCCCACGGCATCGCCTCCGTCTTCACCGAGCCCGAGCACCGCGGCAAGGGCTACGCCTCCACCATGATGAGCCTGCTCGGCCCGCGCCTCGGCGGCTGGCAGGGCGCCCGCATGGCCAAGGGCGAGCAGTGGGGCGACATCCGGGACGGCGAGGTCGCCTTCTCCGTGCTCTTCTCCGACATTGGCAAGAAGTTCTACGCGAAGCAGGGCTGGCACCCGTACGAGAGCGCGCACCTGTCGTTCCCGCCGCAGCCCAGGGCCGAGGGGCAGAAGGAGGGCAGCAAGGCGAAGCCGGTGGGATACCACGAGCTGGCGGAGCTGAGCCACGTCGACGAGAAGTTGCTGCGGGCGAGGCTGTCGAAAGAGTCCAAGGGGAGCAAGACGCGGGTGTCGTTGCTGCCGGATATTGATGCTATCTTGTGGCACCTGATGCGCGAGGACTTCATGACCAAGCACATTTTTGGAAAGACACCGACGGTTAGGGGAGCTGTTGTCGGGGAGCGCGGGGAGAGGGTGTGGGCGGTGTGGACGAGGGGATACTATGGTGGATTGAAGAAGCCTGAAGGCAACACCATGCATATCTTGAGGTTGGTTATGGAGAACGAAAACAGCAGCGATGAGTATGTCCAAGACGCTATTCACGAGCTCTTGACGCTGGCGAGAGCGGAGGCGGCCGAGTGGAAGTCGAACAACATTGAGCTGTGGAACCCCGACTCCAGAGTGAGAGGGCTGATTGAAAAGGCGGGCATCCCCCACGAGTTTGTTGAAAGAGAGACTGATAGCATTGCGAGCCTGATGTTTTACGGCGATGGGGATGTGGAGTGGGTGCTGAACGAGAAGTTTGGTTGGTGCTAGACGACGAATCATCATACACGGAACATGCATATCACGGTTGTGGGGAATCCATTACACGGAACGGAATTCGGAGTACAGGACAAGCGTCCAAATTGGCATGGCAAGGTATCATTAACAAATGATCTATGAACCGTCTAACCTTGATCACTTCCCACGTGGCCCATTTTTGATTGTTTTATTTTCACATATACGCCGCCGCATTAGTGACCGTGGCCGTCATCCTCCGCCCTCTGCTCGGGATCCAGCTTGATCAGGGTATCGATACGCATGATGCTGATGCAAGCCTCCACGGCACTCTTGAGTTGCCGGATCTTGCTGATGCTGGGCTCCAAAATACCAGCCTTGACCTCGTCAATAACCTTGCCCTTCGTCAGGTCGAGACCGTAGTTCTTGTACGCCTTCTTGCGGGCGACAATCTTCTCGTCATCGTTGCCCTCGCCCTCCTGGATGCGCTGCGAGAGCGCGTGCCGAGAACGCAGCTGAGCGACGAGCTCTGAGGCGTCCTTGGCCGCGTTGACAGCCAGGGTCTTGGGGATGACGAGCAGGGATTGGGCAAACTCGCCGATGGCCAATTGCTCGCGGGAACCGACGGTACCGGCAAACTCCTCGAGGTAGATGTGCAGAGCAGTCTCGACGGCACCGCCACCGGGCACGATGCTGCCACTCTCGAGCGTTCTCTTGACGGCGTTGAGGGAGTCGTGGATGGAGCGCTCCATCTCGTCCAGGGTGAAGTCGTTGGGACCGCGGAGGATGATGGATGCTGAGGAGTGGGTCTTGGTGCCCTTAACGAGGATGCACTCGTCGTCTGAGATGCGCTCCTGGACAACCTCCTCCGCGTGTCCAAGGTACGCGGGGTCGAACTTCTCGTCGCCGTTAAGGTCGGACAGTGTGCTGAGAAGGGTAGCGCCGGTAGCCTTGGCAATTCTGCGGAGGTCCTCCTTCTTGCATCTGCGAACACCCATAGCGCCCCTCTCAACGAAAGTCTTCAGAACCATGTCGTCGATACCCTTGGTAGTAAGGATAACGTTGGCGCCAGCCTTCAGGATCATGTCTACCCTCTCCAGGATCATGCCAGACTCTCTCGCGCGGATCTGCTCCAGTTGTGTCGGGTCATCGACGGTAATCTGAACACCCAACTTCATACGCTCCTTTTGCAGGTTCATATCCAACACGGCAATCTTGGCGTCCGTTATTCTTGTAGGCATGGCCTGGGAAGCGACTGTGCAGTTAAGAGCGTAGCCCTTGACCAGAACAGACTCCAGCGAGCCCTTTCCGTGTGCCTTCAGGATGTTGACAGCCTTAACGGGGTATTTCGTCTCGTTGCGGTTGTTCGTGGTCTTGACGGCGAGCATGCCATCGACAACCATGTTGGCGAAGAACTCGGAGTCGGCACCGATGATCTTGCTGGACATGGAGGTCTTGGCAATGTTGATGAGGGATTCGCGACCGAGGTTCTCGACCTTGATGCTGATGTTCTCGTTCATGTACTTGACGGCCTCGCGGAGGGCAAGTCGGTAGCCGGTGATGATGGTAGTGGGGTGTATGCGGTTCTTCATAAGCTCGTTACCTCTGCGCAGCAGCTCGGCGGCGATGAGGACGACGGACGTGGTGCCATCGCCGACCTCCTTGTCTTGTTGTTGTGCCAGGTCGACCAAGATCTTGCCAGCGGGGTGCTCGACGTCCAACAAGCTGAGGATAGTAGCGCCGTCGTTCGTGACCGTGACATCCTACGCCGGGGTTAAGCGGGGTCCAGGGGGGGAGGGGGCCGCCGAACGTACACCAATATCGTCGACCATCATCTTGTCAAGGCCGCTCGGGCCGAACGAGCTCTTGACAACATTTGCGATAGCTTGGGTCGCGAGGACTGGGAGTTTGTTTTGTCAGCATGGATGAAGCTGTAGCCGGGGGTCGCAGCAAGCGAAGCAACAACAGCGGCGACATACCGTTCTGGTCTCTGATGTCGGCACCGGAAATCTTCTGGCCACCGAGGAAGAGGGTGCCGCTCCCTGACTGCTCGAACATGGACGCCATTTTGGGTCCTCACTGCCTGCAATAATGGTGAATCGCGGGATAGGGAGGTGGTGGAGGGTGGATTTTGGGTAGCTCGTCGGTGTGGCCTGGACAGCAATAGAAGCTTCTGCGCTGTGCCTGCCTTGTCCCCTCGACGCAACTTTTTTTCGGACCCGAGTTGTTCCAGGAACCGGGGAGCTGTGGCTGGTGCGGTGCGGTGTCGATAAGGACTGTGCTGCATTTGGAGACAAGCACTGCACTACTGCCATTTCAGTACTGTCGATACAGTGCAGCTTCCCCACCTTCACAGTAGCTGAGCCCACCTCTGATAAGCGCTCGGGCCCCCGGTCTGGTCCCCTGTGGCTGCCAATTGACCCCTCACCTCCCTCGCGCCCAACAGCTCGACACACGACTCACATTTTAGTGCGGGGCAGATTTTCCGCTGTATCGCACCGCCATCTCTGCCCAAAATCTCGAGTGACTCAGGCCGACCCGGGCACCACGCCGCCAATTCTATAAGCCGATACCCTCCCCGAGACGAACCTGCGATTCGCAGTCACTATCGCAAACATGGCCGACGCTGCTGCCCCCGAGCAATCCAAGAGCGCCTTGAAGAAGGCCGAGAAGCAGGCCAAGATGGCGGCCGAGAAGGCTGCGAAGGCTGCCAAGCAAGCCGCCCTTCCCGTTGTCGGCGGCAAGAAGAAGACGGACGACATCATTGGCATCACGGTCAAGAAGAATGAGGACTTCTCCATGTGGTACCAGGAGGTCGTTCTCAAGGCCGAGATGGTTGAGTACTACAACGAGATTGCTGGCTTCTTCATTCTGCGCCCGGCCTCCATGTACATCTGGGGTGTCATCCGCAAGTGGTTTTCCGAGCGCATTGAGGCCATGGGCGTCGACGAGACCAGCTTCCCCATCTTCCTCTCCTCCAAGTCTCTCGAGAAGGAGAAGGACCACGTTGAGGGTTTCGCCCCTGAATTGGCCTGGGTCACCAAGGCGTAAGTCAACCTCTCCCTCCGAAATCGCCTCTGCCCCCACTAACAACCCTTTTAGCGGTGACAAGGACCTCGAGGTCCCCGTTGCGGTTCGTCCCACCTCTGAGGCTGTCATGTACCCTTACTACTCCAAGTGGATTCGCAGCCATCGCGACCTTCCCTTCCGCCTGAACCAGTGGAACTCCGTCGTCCGATGGGAGGCCAAGCAGACTACCCCTTTCCTCCGCACAAGAGAGTTCCTGTGGCAGGAGGGCCACACCGCCCACCTTACCGAGGAGCTTGCCGGTGTTGAGGTCCGCGAGATTCTTGAGCTCTACGCTGGTGTCTACGAGGAGCTTCTCGCCGTCCCCGTCGTTCGCGGCACCAAGACCGAGAAGGAGAAGTTTGCCGGTGGTTACTACACTACCACTGTCGAGGGTTACATCCCGTCCAACGGCCGTGGTATCCAGGGTGCCACCTCTCACTGCTTGGGTCAGAACTTCTCCAAGATGTTCGACATCACCGTCGAGAACCCCGAGAAGAAGGGCGAGAAGATCCACGTCTGGCAGAACTCTTGGGGTCTGTCTACCCGTGTCATTGGTGTCATGGTCATGATCCACGGTGACGACAAGGGTCTCGTCCTCCCCCCTCGCATCGCCAAGACCCAGGTCATCCTCATCGCCGTCGGTATCACTGCCAAGACCACCCCCGAGGACCGTGAGAAGCTCGAGGGCAAGACCGACGACCTCCGCAACGAGCTGCGCAAGGCCGGCCTCCGCGCCGAGTCTGACTTGAGGGAGGGCTACACTCCCGCCTGGAAGTTCAACGACTGGGAGCTGCGCGGTGTCCCTCTCCGTCTCGAGTTCGGTCCCAAGGACATGGCCAACCAGGTTGTCAGCTTTGCTCGCCGTGATACCGGTGAGAAGGGTACCATCCCCCTGGCCGAGCTCTCCACCAAGGTCCCTGAGCTCCTCGAGACCATCCAGTCCGACATGTACCAGAAGGCCAAGAAGTCCTTCGACGAGCACCGTCTCGTTCTCAACGACTGGGAGAAGGTCATCCCTGCCCTGGACACCAAGAACGTTGTCGTCATTCCCCACTGCCTGGCTGAGAAGTGTGAGGATCGCATCAAGGAGTTGACCAACAGCGAGCCCCCTGAGAACGCCACCCTTCCTGAGGGTAAGAAGCAGCCTACCATGGGCATGAAGTCCCTCTGCCGTCCCTTCGACCAGCCCGAGGGCCTCGTCACCGGCGAGACCAAGTGTCTGAACCCCGACTGCAAGGACTTTGCTAAGGAGTGGGTTATGTTCGGACGCAGCTACTAAAAGATGGGGATGTTATTCAGAGGAGTTGCGGGTTGAGTATTTTGGGACACTATCGGATAACGAGACCCACGGCGGATTTGATTCATGTCATGTGTTGCTAGAGGAGAGAGGTAGAGGGTCGAGCATGTTATGGTTCTCAAGAATTAGCGAGGGGAAGTAGAAACATGCAGGTAAAAAGTCATTCGATACCAAGTTCATTACTTTTTTTCAATCCTCCAGTGAAGCATCGTGTCGAATCCGCAACGCGTCACATTGAAAACTGGACAAGAATCATCTCCCAGGCTGACTATCGCAAATAACACACTCCGGCTTGTCGCCGTTATGGACCCTGCATCCCGAAAGCCAGCCCGCAATTGACTTTGGCACGGTCGACTGCGCCCCCCTGTCACCCGGACCGCCAGTGGGTCGACTCATGATGGCTCATTCAATTGGTACCCCAGACCAGTCCCGAAGAGGCAGGTCTCGGCCCCCCTAAAACATGATGGTGGGTGACTCATTTTCAGCGCCTTTGTCCAATCCCATGCTCTACCAGTCCCCCTATCGAATAGCACTGACAGAAGACGCCTTCATCTGACAATTCCTGTTAGTGATCGGTATCGGAGCCGACGCAGCACCGTCAAACGCGTTCCGCATTCTGACTCAGAGGATTTGTCGTGCAGCGAGGCGTCGACTGATGGATGATGTCGAAATGAGTTTGCTTCGGCTATGTTTTGGTAACACATTGCTGATTCGCCAATTGAAGTCCAGATGTGGCTGTGGATCGAGAAGTCTCGGCCATCCTTGAGCCTCAGCGTTTTATCTTCCGCAATGAGCTCTGTTCCAAATATTAAAGTATAAAGCAGACCAGTTCTTCATAGTACACAGGCTTAAATCATCAAAGAAAATCAAGAAATCAAGTTTACTCACAGAAATCACCAGTTTACCCGTCTCAAGTTCATCGCAAACACATCTAATGGTCGGCGCAACAACCACTAACACCACCAATACCAACACAACCGCAGCCATGGAGCAACCAACCACATCCCATTTCAAGCTCTCCGCAACGTTCTGCGGCACATGCGATGTCCGGTTCGACAACCCGGATACTCGCCGAGCACACTCCAAAAGCCAATGGCACGTCACGAATCTCAAGCGTCGCATTGCTGAGCTAGAACCACTCACGGCCGAGCAACACGCCGCTGCCGTAGCCGCCGCCCCGGATAGCCCCACCACGGAACCGTCATCGGAAGACTCCTCATCCTCCGCCTCCGATGTCGAGACAGACACCGAACCCGACTTTGTCCCTGAGGAGTGTCTTTTCTGCAACACGGTCTCGGAAAACTTTGAGGAGAATATCGCCCACATGCACAAGTCACACGGCATGTTCATCCCCGACAAGGAGAGACTTATTGTCGATCTCGAGACTCTGGTACGATACCTGCACCTCGTCGTCTTCGGGTACCGCGAATGCCTCCAATGTGGGACGCAACGCCGCACACCTGCCGCGGTTCAACAGCATATGAAGGGAAAGAACCACTGTCGCTTCGATATTCACGCCGAAGACTCCGAATTCAGAGACTTTTACGAGAAATTGGCCACCGACGAGGAGGCAGAGCAGGAGGGCAAGACGCGCAAGGCCATCGTCGACGCCATCGAAGAGGGCAGCTCTATACGCCTACCCTCCGGAAAGACGCTGTCCCACCGCTCCGCTCCAGCACCATCACGTCCTCGCAGAAAGCTCGGCGAATCTTTGTCTGGCGAGAACCTTCTCCCCGAGGGCGTGAACGTGGACGAGTCGAAGGCGAGCATGCAGCTTACCGCGCCCGGGATGAAGAATAGTTCCAAGGCGCTCACGCGTGCCGAGAAGCGCGAAGCCGTCTTTGAGACGCAGCTGGCGCGGTTGAGTGCCAACGATCGCATGGCCCTTGCTCATCTTCCGGCTGCGGAGCAGAGGAGTTTGTTGCTGACGCAGCATAAACAGTTGCAGAAGGCAGAAAGGGCTGCTAGGAGGACTCATATGAGGTTGCAGATGAAGGGGAACATTAGTGGACGGTTGAACTTGGTTGATGATGTGATGGGGCCGAAGTTCATGGTTGGATTGTGGGGATAAGTCGAGTCATTCTTACGGAAATAAAATTCAAGGGTGTTAAGAAATCCTGACAAAGTTTATGGTAGAAGTCAATGAATGTCTTTAGGAAACTAACTATAATATGTCCTCCTCCACTTCATCGGTGATCAAACTTGGCCCTAGGGTTGAGATAAAACACATATTATACGAGCATCCATCCATAGCTCCCCAGATCTACCTGCACTAAACATCTGAAGTTAAGACATACTACCATTCCAACAGTACCGTGAGTACTCCCAAGGAACTAATTTAGTCTCCAATTTTCAGTTCGCTCACTCGCAATGCGTCCTTGACTACTACCTTGACCACCTTCGAAATCCGGTTGGCGTAGATGCTGCTGGTACATTGGCGAGCCTTGGCTCGCAAACAATTCGTTGCGCATGGAGGAGGGTATTTGGGACTGACCATGGAGCGGTTCCATATGCTGTCCTCTGAGCTGCTCCGGATTGCCAGCATCCAAGGGTCCGCTGAAGGGCTCGCTGGCTCCTCCCATGCTTTGCTGACTATGCCTCATCTGCCCTCCAGAATAAACTTGCGTGTTGTCCATGGAGAACCCCCGTGTCTCCATACCTCTCACCGAGGACGAATTATCCATGTACCGGGGAGTTTGCCAAGAGGATGTCGAGCTTTGCCAGGGCCGAGGCGGCGGTGGAGGACCACCCCTGCTGTTATAAAAGGGATCAGGGGAATCTGATGAAGGGCCATCTTCATAGTATCTCCTCGCCGGCCTCGGTGACAAATCTGCATTCCGTACATCGTCCGCTCGAATAGCCTCAATCCTCGCCTCTTCTCTGTCGGTCATGGCCCGTGTAAAGTCCATGTACCTGCCAAAGCGTTCGATTGCCACGGCGACTCTCTGAAACTGTTTATGGTCGAGAACGACCGCGCTTCTCTCACTAGATGCTACGCTGGGCTCCTCGCTAAGAGAAGTCTTCCGAATGTGATAGTGAGCTAGAGAGGAGGCAATCTGGAAGGCGTTCCGAATTTGGCGTCCGTTCCAACGAAGATGGGGGGTTTTATGATGATTCTCAAAGTGATGAATCGCGTACTCCATAATCCGATCTTCGTCAATAATGAGCTTCGAAGCTTTTTGTCCAGTGTTGTTCTGCAGTTCCTGCTTTTGTCCCTCAATTGCTGACAGTTTTTTGATGTTCAGTCTGAAGATCTCGATAGTTTGAAGCCTGTTCAGCGGCTCATAATAGAGGCTGATATGAATCCGAGATTTGAACGCTTCGTCAAGCGCACCAACTCTATTGGTAGTAAGAAACAGGATACCGCTGTAGTACTCAAGTATTCGGAGGAAAACTTTGATCCGTCAGAATCAGCACATATGACGTTTACGAACGAGCTGAAAGAGCTTACCGGACACCAAAGCATTGCGGTCCAGGTCGTGGTTGCCTCTTTTTGCAAGAAAAATGTCGGCTTCGTCAAGTAGTAAAACACAGTCCCAAAGATGGGCCAGTCGGAATAGATCTGTCAAGCTTCGGTCTACCAAGAGAGCGTTCGTTCCCAAGTCCCCACACGTCATCGAAAATAACGGCTTTTTGTTCGCTTGGGCGACCGCTTCGGCGGTCGCGGTCTTACCCACACCAGGCACACCGTGAAGCAGAATACAAAGGCCAGCGCCCTTGCCGCCGACAAGATCTTGGCTGATAGGACCAGACATGGGGTTTCGACGCTGAACTTTCCTCTTCTCGAAGTGATCTGCGACCAAAGACTGAACCATGACTTTGTGTTCCTCCTCAATTTTTAGATCGTCGAAGATATCAGGTTGATCCTGGATGTGCTTTAGCGATCGCACATCTACCATTGCAAAGTATCTTGTGCGAAGAACGTAAACAAAAGCTCTTTGAGGCAGCAGAAGGTTGCTGATGTCTTCGTTGATACCGTCAAGTGTTTTCGTGTTCTGGCTGCCGAAAGCTTTGAGAAACGGATCTGACTTCACCCAGGTATTTTGTATCTGGTCAGCTACACCATCGTCGATTTGGATTGCTTCCGTAAGTCGGAATAAGGGACCAGGTCTTGTCATTGGTGTTCCTGGGTCCGGCCAGTGAAGAAGCCGAATCTCATCATCTTCTGCATCCCAATCCTCAGAGATGTCAACTGGCTTAGGTGCCTCGAACTCTGACCTCCATAGGGGCTGCCGGTCCAAAGCTTCTTTGAAATCGATGATGACGTCGCTTTCAATGTGAGTTGGCAATTTCACTTCGTGCGGAGCCCACGTTGATCCCATGGGAGGGCCAGTCAAAGTCCAACCATCGCAAGAAACGTGCTTCTCCCGGACAAAACTTCTGAAGGTTTTGCCCTGATTAATCAAGTTGTCAATGATGTTTTCCGAATTGGGGGCAAAACGTATAGGGTAACCCGTCAAATCTCTGATATCTCTTTGGCCAAGGAAGAAGTTAATGACAATGGTGTGCCAAACGGGCCCGTAGGACTCGCCATCAAAATCGAGATAGAAGCAGTCCAAGTGCATAGGACGACGGTTGAACTTGCAATCTTCTTCATTTTCGTCCTTCGCTGGGTAATTATCCTTTCGATGGAGGACAAATGCAGTTTGGTACCTTTTGGTCGTTGTTTGTCTGCCATTAGCGTCTGGCGGAAAGCCATTCACTGGCGGCTGGTACAGAACATCGCCGATCTTGAAAAGATACCAGAGATCATCGAACCGAACCATTCGATGGTCAATATCATTGAACATATTCTCCAAGGGCATTATTCTTTCATCCATGAACTTGACGTAGCATTGGAGATGGTCGATGGCCATCTGTCCAGTAAGGGAATGTTGACCGTTAGGTGTGGGGGTAAGGTGATGATGTGTCCCTTCTGCTTCGGGTGTCTCCCTAAACAGGGTCGAGGCTCCCTCGGTGCTAGCTGACTTGCAATTGAAGCCTTCGTCTGCCGGCGGTGATAACGAAGACATTGAAGAGTTGGCAACGTTTTCTTGGAGATCCCGAAGCACTTTCTTCATGTGTGAATGATAGTAGATCAAGCATTTGAACGGTCTGAAAAATACTCGGGGAACATCAACACTCCAAAGAGGGGCTTCTGTCACTTCCAGCAGATAGTGCAGAATGATTGGCGAGTGAATCCGTATGCGCTGAATCCAGGTTTCGCCAGAGGCCACCCTGAGCCTTGTCTCCGGTTTTGGTCTATTCGGTCTCAATGAATAACCATGGCGGTCGATCCATTTTTGTCGTTCGTCCACAACAAAATTTGCTCTCATAGACGCCTCGGCGCTTTCCTGGTGGGCAGACTTGTCTGAGCCTACCAAAAGCTCCACGATGTGATATAGGTCATCTTCTCCCCAACGATTCTTGAAGTTTTCAAAATCAAATTCGCCAATGGAGACAAGCAGAGGGCGGGAGAGAAGTCTTTCTTTCCAATCAGCAGCCTCCATTCCTTTGGGCTGTCCCCAAGCATCAGGAGGAATACTTTGGTCGTGCATATAAGGTTTTGCCATGGTCTCAGGCGCTACGGGGCCGGGTGCGGTGGTCTCCTGTGCGGTGGTCTCCTGTGCGGTGTACTCCTGTGCGGTGGCCTCCGGTCCGACGCCTTTCTCTGGCAATGCTGCCCCTCCAGCGACTTCGACATCTAGCCCTGACATTTCATTAAAACTGTAGCTGGTGGGCTTTTGTTTCCGATGGCGCTACATGTGTTTTATTGTTGCTTGCAATACGCCGGCCTTTTGAATGACAATGTGGTGTTTGTTTTAGGCGAACCCAGTTGGGAGTTGGTGCGGATGTCGCATCAATGTGTGATGATTCAGTTTGAGAGCTTGCGCTGAAATGAGGAAATTAGCCACATTGTATTGTAAGCCTGATAGACTAAGTGGGAATGAATCAAACCACTTGCGAGAACGTAGTTTATCTGTATTCGTGTATTCTTTGACATGGGCTTCGGTGCTGTATCCTCCGCGGTCTAAAACGACTGAATGGGGTAGTGAATGATGTGAGGTCTGGGTCAAAGTAAGCGCCAACTGAACCCCGAAGAGCCCCCCAGCGAGGAGAAGATCTCGGGCACCTGATCATTTACCCTGGATTGGGACATGTACTTATTGACATTTTTTCAAGTTTTCATGTGCACTCACCAGATATCTGCAAGTCAGCTGATAGTATGCATTTTTGCTCCAGAGTATTTCCAGCCTGACGGGAAAGACGCACCAACAAAAAAGGATCATTTGAGCACGGGGCATTTTCACATCATGCATGAGTGTGTACCACAGAAATATCATGAACGTGCACCGGAAACCACCAGGCTAGCGATAGGAACCTCTGCCTTGAAATTCATGCATAAGCAAGACTGCGTTGTTCCCGCCATGACAGCAAGTAGGTATCAGGTAGCCAATTGCCTCTTGTTTTCCACTGGCATTCCTTGATCATGATTAGTACGACCAAAGGGGATGATAACACTACACTTTGTCAAGCGAGTGCTTTAGCTGTCCGGACGCAGGTGGGGGGGGGGGGGGGGGGGGTGGGGGGCTCCCTGGTTGGATAGGCTGATTCACAGTCACGAGGGAGCTTCCGCGAAATGCAAATAATCAATATGACCTGACAACAAAGCAGGCTCGCATGATTATGTGGAAGGTTGGTGCCGATTATTGGACAGATGTAGTATCGCTGCGCATGCGCAGTCATCTTGCCAGTCGCACAACATCAGGCTATGGAAATTTAAAAGCGGGGTTAGAAAGAGGCAGAGTTTAATGTCGGGTCTTTGAGCCGCTAGCCCGTCAGGCAGCGTTGCCTTCGATCCATCCACCCAAAAAGGGGCTTTCTGACATGGTCCAAGAAGCGAAGGCAGTGGTATAGATCGTAAATGCCATCACCATACCGTGACTGTGCCCATTAGTCTTCCGCTCTCATTTTTGCGAGAAGAACTTTTCTTTCAAAGCGCTGGGATATTTTGAAATTCGTCGATGCCGGACTAATGCGGAGCAGTGAATTCTGTCTACTTGAAGCATGTCAATCGAGATTAGAACATGG